GTGTGTGTGTGTATGTGTGTGTGTGAGAGAGAGAGAGAGAGAGAGAGAGAGAGAGAGAGAGAGAGAGAGAGAGAGAGAGAGAGAGAGAGAGAGAGAAACATTACCGTATTTTACCCTCAACAGAACTCTGTATACACGTACACACGTATTGGTGTTATTATCGTTCTTATTATTGCTATTATTATCGTCACGTATTATGTATATGATTAGTAAATGCAGAGCGGCATTATGAGCGACTCTCGCACGAGGATATCATTATTAGATCATTGCGTAAAGTATATTAATTAGCGCGCTCTCGACATTTCGGCAATGTCCCTGTCGTCGCTGTCGCCGACCGCCGCGCGGCATGATCGTCATCTTTGCGCGAACGACGCGATTAACAAAGGATTAATCAATAAAGGAAGCGTCGCGCAGGAGCGCGTTCGCGCGCGCGTGGCTGTCGCGCAATGGCGAGTGGGAGTATCCGTTCGTGTTTTATCTTCACCGACGCGACAATGATTTCATTATTTCCGTAGATGTACATAATTAGGATCGCGTGCTGAGCAGGATTACGTACACACGCGTTTTGCGCGACACAGTTGGTCGTCCGTTGACCATAGCGCGGAAAAAAAACAGAAAAGGACAATGTTGTGGCCGAAAGAGAAAAAAACGAAAAAAAAAAGAAAGAAAGAAGTAGAAACGGGAAACCGCCGCGGAAAAACGCATTCACACACGACGAAAACGAACGCGACGCGTGGTTTTCCAAGCGGTGTCAATCAGAATACCCACGTTAATTAAGCGAACGCAGAAAGCTTCCTCCAGCATGCACACAGGTACACGCACAATACAAAAGGTTAGCGGCGGGGCGAAGAGGAAGGACTCGTCGTCGCACGACGACGACGAGGTGACTGAGTCGGGTCGCACGATTAATTTTGCTATTAATTGCGATCTCGCGCCTTCATCTCTTCGACCACGTGGTGATCTCGATTTCGTCCTTCGATCTCGCTCAGCTGCTGTTGTTAACACACATACACATACACTGGAACGTAGATTGCAGCAATGTATCGTGCGAGAGATTGGATGAATAGGACTACATTGATGTGCAAAGGAAGAGAAAAGATTCTTACACACATACATACACACACACACACAAAGATGCACTCACACAGAGCGGTAGATAACGCGAAATAATTAGATGACATTTATTACATTCCTCGAAAAACACACACACACACACATACGTGCGCGCGCGCCATCACATTGTTGATATAAATTGCGATCCACAATATGATTATTACTATTTACGATATAATTATTATCTTGCATTGTCTAGTCATACGTTATTATTATATAACTAACAATATTAATTATTAATTAATCTGTACTACCTAGTCGCATTATGTGTTGCGTAAAGGGAAAAAAAGAAAAAAAACTAGGAAAATTCCGAAGGCAAAAGAGCACCGAGCGAGCGAGCGAGAGAGAGAGAGAGAGAGAGAGAGAGAGAGAGAGAGAGAGAGAGAGAGGCAGAGAGAGAGTGTGTGAGAGTGTGTGAGAGTGAATGAGGAAGATGAAGAAAAAGGAGAGACAGAGCGAGAAAAAGAAGAGAATGTTTGAGATAATGACGATTTGAGTGAGATGATTCGAGCGATGATCATAATGATGACATGATGGCAACAACGGTGAGTACAATGTGTTCGTGGGAGGGTGCGGTAGAAAAAAAGAAGTGTGATAAAGGAGGGCTTGAGGGGAGAGACGGAGAGAGTGCGAGGATCCTCCGCAGGCGTAGACCATGATATCACCTCGATCCGACGGTCGAATCGTAGCGATCGGACCCATCGACGTAAGAATATATGGACGGACATAAGAATGGATGGAGCATTTTACGAGGAGTAGGTAGATAATAGCGGTAAGAGGAAGACTACACTTCGGCTGTTTCCGTGAACACGGCTCGGAAATATTTGTCCTACAAGCCATTTTTCTCATTTTTCAACGCCTCTTGCGGAAGTCTACAAATATATTATATATTTATATGTGTATATTGCTTCCAATATATACAAATTTCGTCTGTTATGTATATAAACTTATAATGTTTTATAATTAACCTAACTTATATATTCATAATTATTTACTTATAAATGAAACGAAATCTTTTTATTTTTTGCTTAATTTTCCCGTTGCTCGTAGTTCTTAATATTACAATTTTTACAACCGAATGCTACACAATAACTCATATCTTTTTAGAGGTTAATAATATTAATAATAATAATTGTTACGTTCACGTAACTCTTCCATGAAATAATTCATAGATGCTGCTTATGCCTTCAGTGATTATTGATTATCGATTAACTCTGACATGTCATACTCGCACGGTGAACTTTCACCGCGCGCTTATAAACAAAATTTCTCACGCTTGATAAGGAATAGAATCCGAGCTGAACATCGATAACTAAGAATCATCTTTCCCCTTTTCTTATCTGATTGGCGTCAACTCGCGCGGGGGTTTCTCACCACTATAGGCTATAAAAGTAGGCAACGACATAATAGGGGAGCTCACTTTTAATTGCTCTATCATGCAGAACACTTGATATAGTACAGAACTCAGCACAGTTTCTTTCAATTAAGTCAATTGCTTGTTTCACTCATCTGATTTATTCACCAATTTGGATCATTCACTAATTCGTACAATCGCTCACGTTACATCAAACTCCACTGGCATATTATAATATTAAAATTTGTCTATTCCAATCTGAGCAACTACAACCGGTATGTAAAAGAATTAAACAATTTATTAAATAATTTAAAAGGTGGTTTCTTAAGAAATTATCCCATTTTCTTGCTCTTTCTTCTTTCAATACTAATTCTCACCCACAAACACAAACTTGTCCGTCCCAAGGTAAATTAGTTAAATCTATTGATCTTAAAAAGGACAAACACATAAACACTCACGATCGCGACGTGATATAATATAATAATAATAATATAATAATAATGATAATAATAATAATGATGATGATAATGGTAATGATAATAATAATGATAATGATAATGGCAATGATAATGATAATCATAATAATAATAATAATATAGTGATATTTATAATTAATCTCTAAAAAAAGTTATTGATGTAGCATTACGTATGCAGTAAGTTAACAGTAAATATGAGTTAGCATTCGGTGTGTAGCATTCGGTTGTAAAGATCGTTGTTAAAATATTAAAAAGAACTACGAACAATGGGAGAAACAAGAAAATTTCGTTTCATTTGTAAGTAAATAATTATGAATATATAAATCAGGTTAATTGTAAAACATTATAAGTTTATATACATAACAGGTGAAACTTGTATATATATTGGAAGCAATATACACATACAAATAAATAATATATTTGTAGACTTCCGCAAGGGATTGAAAAATGAGAAAAATGGCTTGTCGGCCGAATATTTCCGAGCTGCGTTCACAGAAACAGCCGAAGTCAATGTAGTGTTCCTCTTACCGCTATTATCACTTACTCCTCGTAGAATGTTCCGTCCATATATTCTTACGTCTATGATCGGAGCCGCTCGCTGTCAGATCTCCGTATCCGCGCTCCCGTTGATCGATAAACGACGAGAATCGCGCTAAAATAGAGCGAGAAGAACGAGCGCTCGGCGCTCGTGAGGTAGAAAAAAAGTAAAGACTGTAAAGACTGACGATATAAGCTGGTCCACGAGTGAATCACGTTGCAGGCTTATGATCGATGAATTTAGACGAATTTTCCCGTATCGTCGGCTCCGCGATCGACGATTCGCGCGGACGGATCGCTGGGTCTCGATCAGTCGCGCCTACGACCGCGAGGTATTAAGATACATTGTAGTTAGGATAAGGTGTGAGCCGGTGAAATGATAATGCTAATGCTAATGATGATGATGATGATGATGACGAATGGGTGAGAGACAGAGGCGAAAGAAGAGAGAGAGAAAAAAAGAGAATAATAATTGATATCATGAGACACGTACGCGTCACAGAGCATCGCGTCGCAACGCCATGCTGCGTGACGCGTTCGTGCAGGTATAGTAGAAGAGCAAATATAGTAGAAGAAAAGCAGGAGAAAAAGCGAGAGACAACACGAAGAACAAAACGAGTATTATATATGCGGAGGCCGTGGAGGGGAGGGAACCTTCCTTTTACCCGAGTAACGAAATAAAAAAAATAGAAAAAATGATAGAAAGAGAAGAAGTAAACACCGACGGGGGCGTCTTCGCGCTTTCCTGTGACGTTCGTCGGTATCCTGTCGTCTTGAGGAGAGCAAAGAAGGAGGAAGAAAGGGAGTGTGAGCGGAAGAGAGAGAGAGAAAGAGAGAGAGAGAGAGAGAGAGAGAGAGAGAGAGAGAGAGTGAGTGAGTGAGTGAGTGAAAGAGTGAGAACATGAGAGAGAGAGAGAGAGAGAGAGAGAGAGAAATAAATCTAGGACAGAAAAAAAAATGCGATATAAAGATATATAAATATTATATGTGAAAAATATGATTATTATATACATATACATATATACGTATACGCGCGTTTCGCTCTCGGTTTTTTCGAAAGCAGCATCCCAGTATCCGCAAAAGAACAAAAAAAATGCAAAAATACGTCCCCTTTACGTGCGTCGCCTCTCCCCCTGTGCAACTGTATTCTCAACCCCCTGCCCCTCCTGCCTTCCTTTCTCCCTCCCTCCCTCCCACCCGAGGAGAGCTCGTGGGCTCTATATTGCAATATTTGTACTTTTCCATGTTGAAACCTCGATATACAATAAATTATATTAACAAACTTCGATTGACCTGTTGTCCCTCGTGTATGACAAACGCTACAACCCGTATCTTGCGTATCGATCGCTTTATTTTTCCGGTCTTCCGCTGCGCGACTCGCACCCGCAAGATCGAGAGAAACAATGCGTGGGATCGGGCAATAAGTGCGTGAGGACTCGTGATTGCTCGTGAATTGATTTTATTTCATGGTTATTTGTAACATCTGCTTTTGGGCAGAAGCCTGAATTTCAATTTAACCGTTTCGTTTTAACATATATTTAGAAAACACTTTTCCAGTGATACATCGACATAATAGCAACGTCCCTTCGTAGTGAAAGTACAATTGAATTCGTCTCTATCGTACGTGATATCCTGTGGAAAGTCCTCTATATAACGATTTGAACAAATAATGATAGCGTGATGACGAATCATCACTGACAACGTTGGCTAGATAGTCGCGAATTCGATACTACAAGAGAAGGATGACGTATGTGTTAAATGGACGCATTTCGTGCGACACACTGTCGAGAAGGAAATTCTAGTTCTTCACGGGACAAGCAATCGTGTCTACTTCTTGTGCGAAAAGTTCTGCTTTTTTGGGGCGAACTCCAAGCCTCTGATGTAATTCTTTTTGATCTGGTATTTCTCTGCAAGCAATAAACACAGAACCAAATCACGTAGTCCCCTACATTATCACAGAGTTAAGTTCGAATCTTCAAAAGGCCTCACCCGTGAGCAATTTGTACACGTATAAAATCTGATTGCCCTGAACGAGAACACTGGGGGTCTTCTTGCCAGGGTCGTCAGTGATTGTCGCGCTCGCACCGATGTTCTGACACTCCTTGCTGAACTCCTTCGAGTTGATCCCGAAAGTCTCCAGATTGTTGACCAACGTCACCTACGACTCGCGTCCAAGTCGTTGCAGATTGCCACCAAACTCATCGTCTCAGGTTCGTATTAATAGTCATCATGTGAAATATACTTGACGTTACAACTAATCGCACGCGATTCAACTGACGATCCAATCTGTCTAACTTCAAACTCGAATCTGAGAATCTCTGTTGAAACCAGTTTCGAGTGACGACCATCAATACGATGACCTGAGCGGCATCACTCCTCACCTTCTTGCCCCCCGACCGCACCACCACCCTCATGTCGACCGGCTCCAGCTTGCCCGTGTGCAACAACGTGTTGCCCGCGAGAGTAACCTCGTGCATGTGCGTCATACGGCCAATAAACTTGTTGATCCCGTCCTCCATTGTCACCGTCTCTTGATGTACCTTGGTACGCATGATCGCGGCCAGCTGCGGGCTCAGCTTCAACATTCTGCAACATTGCAACATCGTGTCGATGATGCATGTTGTGAATAAATCGCGACATGTCAAGTTCACGCTAAAGCACCCTGCCACGTCTTACTTTCCATTCTGGAGGTCCTCCGCTTTTACATACTCGGTGAAGTACTTCCTGATCTCAGCTCTCTTCATCACATCACCCTTTCTGTAATCATCAGCGTACATACACTCGACTTCTTTTATACTACACAAAAAAGGAATCGTCCTTTCTATTATTATCGCCGTTTGTACTCACTCGTATCCGAATTTCGACAAAACTGGCAGGACGTCAGCGGTCACACGGTAGCATTCCGAGACGACGGCGCTACTGGAGATCACCGGCTCAGCTGCGACTCGTTCCTCGGTTACGACTAATCGCTTCACGAGGGGGTGATCAAACTGAAACGAACATGGGGTTAAGAGATCTGTTTCCAAGCCAAGAAATGGCGTGTCTTGATTTCAAAGAGAGAATCGTGTCGCACCTTGATCGACAACAAAGTTTCTACACCTTTCGTTACGGACGTGTTGATGATTCCTTTCGCCTTCATTTCCGCCAAAAAGACCGACAACTTTTTGTAGCGAGACTTCTTCACGTCAACGTTCTTGCCCGGCGGACAGGCAGCCAACAGGTGATTCTTGAAGAAGTTGGACGACAGCATCGGCAGGTCGCTGGACTTTATCGACGTTTTGCATGCTTTCAGGAAACAATACTCCAGTAACTCGTCCATCTCCTGAATCGGGTCTAGCGCTACTTCCGGCTCGATCACATCTGGGCTTTGTACATCGTCCGTTTTCACATCTTCTTCGTTCTCTATGTATTCCTAGACAGAAAAAAAAGGGCAGAAATATGTACCCATGTACAATTTATTTGATTAATCCAAGTGCATAAGTGAAGATAAAGTCATTAATACCTCTTCCTCTAAAATACCAGTCTCATCCATGACTTCACTCGCATTCTCGTCGAGATTTAGTTGATCTAATTTATTTGACAATGCTTCAGTTTGTTCCATGTCCATCTGCTGACTATCCGTCTCGGTACTTTCCGATGTGTTACCAGAATTCTCAACATACGGTGATCCCAAATCTGGTCTCACGGGCGGCTTGCCTAATTGACAAAGCATATCGCCAATCACGTGGAAAACCTCCACACATTTGCCACGACCAGCAGCCATATACATGTCCTCGCTAGAAAGTGCAGTAATGCCAACAGCAACTGATGCCTGCAAAACAAGTATTTATTATTTATTATTAATAATAATCTATAACCCACAATAATTTAAAATAATATAGTATTTCATAATAAAGGATCCAAACCTTATTATCGTCTGTATTAACTGATACAGGAGTACCTTTGGACAATTTACCAAAAGTATAAAGAGTCAATGGTTCTTTCAAGACTAACCCAGGCAACATTAGATCTGCACCACCTGCCAACTTGGATACAACTGGCATACGTGTAGTAAAAGTGTCTAACAAACATGGATGATGCCACAAAGTATAAATTGTCGGGAACAATATAGTAGTCTTTAAGTCCAACTGGAAAAACATAGGTATCTTAGCCACACAATATATTTTAGCCATATGTCCACTGTATGTTACTATCTTCATAACACTAATGGATTCCTTTTTAGGTAATAATAATTGGATTTCCTCATCTGATAAACTCGGATAAGCTGCCAATACTTCCTCGCATAACTTCTTCCTACAAAATATAATAAGTTGTGTTAACAATGTAATCTATGAATTCTTATTAACTTAGGACACTGCACTTCATGTTGTATAAATACAATAAAATTGGAATATATATTTGTTACAGTTGATTTACAGTTTTTTAATCTTTAACGTTTTTTTATACATGTTTAGAGATAATGGAATTGATTATTTAAAATCTCATAAAAAAAACATTTGTTTATGCGATTTGACAGATGAGTGTAACCTATAATTCTATAAATCAAATAACAAAATCCCTTACCTTGTAAATTATCGAGCTATACGAAAAAAAAATGTACTAACCTTTCGGTTCCTTTTAATTGATTATTGGATTTAACTTTAAACGGTTTGATAAACATTTTGGCTAGAACAAATTCCAAAGGTTAGCATACGATTAACTTGAAACTAACCTAAAACCTAGCCTAACCTAACCAATCTTTGTGTCAAGCGTTCATGGTTCAATAGATGGCTCCAAACGGATCAATTCCGTTCCTACGCCAGTCATATTTTTTATCAAGCGTATTAGCAGAGAGAAAACCTGCACTGTGGTGCGATTCTGTAACTCGTTATTGGAGTTAACGATAGTTTCGTTATCGTTGCGCAGCTTTTCTACGGTATACAAAAGCTGCGCAACGATAACGAAAATGTCGTTAACTCCAATAACGAGTTACAGAATCGCGGTACAGTGCTGCGTGAGTGTGTGTCTGTGTGTGTGTGAGTGCGTATATGCACACGTACGTCACGCACACTTTCAATGCAACACATGCACACGGACACAACTGCGCTAAAAAACGCCTGCCGGAGTATAAATAAATACTAACGTAACGCTGAAATATTTTGGAAAAATAATTTTGGGTACACACAAAATATCTTATTATCATATATTTATATATCGATATAAATCGTATATAATCTTCATGATATTAATCATATACAATCTCAATTCTTATTTTTTTTGTGCATGTTAACATGTTAATTCATGTTACAAATGCATAACAATGCGCGAGACCGTGCTTGTCAAGTACGCTATTATGGTTGTAGCACGGACATAAACCGCCTGAAAGTGGATGTAGCACGGACAGCCACCAGATGCAGGTTTTACCGTCGAGACCTAAAAGTGGATGTAGCATCGTAGTTCCCCTCTCAAAATGGATGCAAATAGCGCCCATTCCCAGTGCGAAAAATCGTTGTCGCCGAAAACGCCGTATTGGCCGCTCTCAGCTTCCTCTCTGTCGATACATATATAAAGCCAGCGGCACACGGTGCTTGTTTTCGTGCTGGATTGCTTGCTGGATGAAAATATTGCGTTCTGATTGGTACATTTCCGAAGATGGATGGAAATGCACCAATCAGAACGCAGTATTTTCATTTAGCAAGCAATCCAGCACGAAAACAAGCACCGTGTGCCGCTGGCTTTAGTTATCCCCTTTTAAGGTCATTCTACAATACATGTCGTAAGTTGTAAGCCGTAAGAACTAACCAATTATAGCCGATTATTTTTGTAATAATCGACTGTGATTCGCCAATTCTTACGGCTTACAACTTACGACACGTATTGTAGAATGACCTTTAGACTCGTTATTTTGACCAACATTTCAGAAGTGGAGGAGACAATTATAATTGATCATTCTTTAAACTCATTAGTTTGACCGTCGAAATCCTGACTATATAGTCAAAGGTTGTACCAACTTCACTTGAAATTAGTTCCTTATTTAAAATTTACATTCGAATTTAAATTTAAATAAGGAGCTAACTTCAAGTGAAGAGGACAATAATTGACCATTCTCTAAATCCATTAGTTCGAAGCTTTTGACTATATAGTCAAAGGTCGAAAGCAACTCCACTTGAGGTTAGCCCCTTATTTAAGTTTAAATTTAAATAAGGGGCTAACTTCAACTGAAGGCGACAATTATAATTGACCATTGTTTAAACCCGTTCGTTCGACGTGCAGATAAGGTGCTAACTCCGAATGAAATATTTTCCAGACGCGTCTATCTCAAGAGAAAATAAGAAAGAGATATTCATTTATTTATTTATTTATAACATGTGTATCATTATATTAATATTTAAGATTATTAATATTTTGATGAATTGTAAATTATAAATAGACTTTACAGCTTCTGAATTGAAAGTTTGCGGGTGCTGTCGTGGCCTCTTACGGCACGTGCCGACAGTAGGATGAAATGTATGCCGCGGCTCCACATAACCTCAAGGCGCGGTATTATGCATAATAGAGCCAAGTCGGGCGGCACGCGAGCGTTTTGAGATCGCGTCAGGATCGCGCGCACGTCGTCGCCTGATCTCTCGCCTAATTGAAAAAATAAGGAACAAAACCAAGAAAACAAATGGCGATCGCAAAGATCTTGCTGCGATTGGACGTCGCCAGATTCACCGGAGTCAGAGTGAGTTCCTAGCAGCGTCTCTCCTTTTTTCTTTCATAATTTCGCAATAATCCCACTATCGATCCGTCATTGCATGCCTTCTTTTATTTATGCAAGTTTTAGACCTTGTTTTTTCTATTATCGATACTTATGATCTCGAAAATGCGTGTCTGTATATGTTGCCACTGTGTGTTATTGTTGTGTGTATTTTACATAATACTTCGAGGGTTTCATAACTTGTATTGTCGCAAGATGCATTATTTTTAGTTTATACATTTTATATGGACGATATATATGCATGTCATTGAACATGTGATACTAAACTATTTAATACAACAAGAATTAGATTAGAATTTTTTTTAATATTTACCAATGCACATCATGTTTAAAGCAAATTTGTTTTTGCAGCTGTCATCGTGTCAATTAACATAATAAAATATATATATTTTATTGCCATAAATTACAAGCTATATTGTCTCTCCCCATGATTTTGAGTCATTAAAGACAGTCGAATGAAATCTGAAGTAAATCCAAAGTGAAGCAAGAAATTATGCTTCATGTTTGCAGCATTTAAGCACAAAGCCGAAATTCGGACTACTTTTCGACATCGACGGGGTGTTAGTGCGCGGCAAGCAGGTATTATCGCCAGTGAGAGAGTCCTTTAAACGGCTTCGAGGAGACAACGGCAAGTTCCGCGTGCCTACTCTGTTCGTCACCAACAGCGGGAATTCCCTCTGCAGTCAGAAAGCAGCCGATCTGTCGGAATGGATCGGCTTCGAGGTCGCAGAGTCGCAGGTCGTATTGGCGCACACACCGTTACAGATGTTCGACTATCTGCACGACAAGCAGGTGCTGATATCAGGCCAAGGTCCGATTACGGAAATCGCCAGAGAACTGGGCTTCAAGAAGACCACTACCGTGGATGAATTGGTGAGGAACTTCCCCTGCTTGGACTATGTGAATGTGAAGAAACGGAATCCGATCTGCGGGCCGATCGACCCGAATTTCCCAAGAATCGAGGGAATAGTGCTGCTGAGCGAACCGATCAATTGGGAGACGCCGTTGCAGCTGATAGTGGATCTCCTAGTTACCAATGGAATGCCCACGGGCCTGCCTTCATCTATTCCTTATCCGCACATTCCAGTGTTGGCGTGCAACATGGATCTGCTATGGGTATCAGAGGCGCCGATTCCTAGATACGGCCACGGCGCGTTCCTCTTGTGTCTCGAGAGCCTATACCGCAAAGTCACGGGCAAGGACATAACGTACTCCGCTCTAGTCGGCAAACCTAGTGAGATTACATATTACCACGCGAATCGCATGCTCGTCAATCACGCCCGAAGCATCGGCATCGAGAACGTCGACACGATTTATGCGATCGGGTGTGTATTCAGTGATATTAACGTACTGAAATAATATAAAAGATGTTGAAGAGATACACAGGGGACGACCCCACAATGTTCATAATTTGAACAGATCTGAATAGAATCTAAAATATCTACTTCTGATGAATTTCTTATTACACTTCTCTTCTTTCTAAATTTACTTTTATTTGTCCTCTATTTTCTATTTCACTTTTGCTCATTACAGCGACAACATCAACACAGACGTGTTCGGCGCGAACTTGTACGACAAGTACTTGTCTCGCTACGAGTCCGGAGAAGGCACCAAGTCGCGCAGCCTCGAGAAGTTACTGGGGAAGAACATGAAGTCCCCCAGCGCAAAGGCCTGCATCAGCATCTTGGTCGAGACCGGCGTGCATCAGCGAGATTCCAAATTCATACCCGATCACAGCCCCAGGGATTTCTTGCCGGTCGAAGATGGCTTGTGTAAGCCAGCGTTCATCGTCAAGGACGTCGGGCAGGCGATCGAGCTCACGTTCAAAGAGGAGAAGTACGAGTGAATTCAAACGTGTAGTAAGATACCTCTAGCCTTGGAGTCTTCACATCCTTACGTCGCTGCAAAGACAGAGAGAAAGAGAACAAGAGCAAAAGTGTGAAAGAGAGAACAAGTGAAGTGACGTGAGTATTATTATAACGAATAATCCCTTAGAGCGCTAGCCATCGCCACAAACGACGTTCCAAAGCGGAGTAACGGGGGAATAGTAGCAGGAGAAAGAGAGGCTATAACGCGTTTGCGAGAAAGCATAATATTTACTTTGCTTCTCTTACTGTGTCTTTTCGACTCCTATGATTAGTTGATTACTTGAAGCGTAAACAAATCGTACGCGTCTTTAGGTGTGACCGACGATCGGCAACAATTAGGACTCAGTACATCGTGAGAAGAAGAAAGAACCAGAAGAAGCGTAACGAAACCTCTCAGAGAGTCGAAGAACACCACGAACTTGCAAGGATTGCGCATTCGCAAGATTCATGTTAATTTATATCGATATATAAGTAGAGCGATTAAAAAAGGGGAAAAAAATATCGTCATGTTACTGTACATATGTGTTGAGGATAAGAAAGCGAGAGAGAGAGAGAGAGAGAGAGAGAGAGAGAGAGAGAAGGCAAGAGTAAAAAGACGATAAATATAAATATACATGTAGATGCGGATTTTTATCATAAACATCAACACGGGCAAACTACCGAGACTCCGTTCGAACGGCGCTTCGACACTATTTTGTAGTGATTTAATGAAGCCAATTTTATTCAGTGACACGGCGCGACCGCGTATCGTCGATCGTCTTTCTAATGAACCGAGAGCAAATAATTCGGCCGCGGCCGAAACGATCCACGAAGCCATGTTTTCTACACAAAAAGTAGCGCGCCATTCGATGCGCTCTGTGTCGAAACGCGCCTCGCTTAGTCAAAAGAGCAATGCAAGAAATATGTCTAGGTGATATGTAAAGTGTGTGCTCGTCTAGTGGATAATTAGGTAGATGTAAAGCTGTCGACAACACGATCGCTCTCCCGTGCGAAGACGCGAACGTGCGACGTCGAGAACGCAATTCATACCCGGTTAGAGACCCGGTGTGGAAGACCGCAATGTGGATTGTGCTCGCGCAGTAGTCAGGTCTAGTCTTGAAATACAACTCGTTGATCGAACACCCTGAATACAAAGCATCGGGATCTCCGTTTCTCTCCTCTTTTTCCGGGTGTTGCTGCGTCGAGCCGCGCGAATCGCGGCGAAATTCGAGTCTCCGCGGGATTTTCTGCATCACGTCGGATTCTCACAGTCCGTTTGGACGGCGACAAGTACAGCGTTCTGTGAATCCTTTGTCGAATTTATTTTTTTTTTAGTTTTATTTCTTTTCCTTTTATTGGAATAATTGAGATATGACGAGCTGATGAATACTGTGTGTGAGTACGAAAGCGTCAAAGAATACCATGACAAAGGATTGACGGAGCCTCGTCTGCCGCCGTCCAGGTGAGAATCAGCCCTTACTCTTCGATCCTCGAGAGGTCTTCGAATGTAAGTAAGACGGACGCGTTCGAATCTCTGTCCTCTTTCTCGTCGGAGGGAAACTTCGAATGTGCAGCGCAGCCGCCAACTTGAGAATCCCAAGAGCGCTTCTTGATCTCGAAGTTCACGAGTTATCACGAGGAGTTGATTTATTATTGTTCACATCTCGCGGTGTGCGACTGGCACTTTACAGCCAGCTTCTTCGACGTTCTCGCGATCGAACGAAGATAAGAAAGAGGGAAGTGAAGTTTACTTTTAAGGAATCATTGGCGCGCACGCTTGGACGCGAAAATCGCGCGCTAACTCGCAGCAGCTGAAAGCGCACATTATACTTCGTTTTCTACTCGCCGCAACTACTCGACACGGCGATTAACGTCGCAACACCGGCGACACACGTCGACGAAGTCGTCTGTCGGGGCGAAGACTGACCATCCTAAGGTAGAACTTAGACGAGCGTCGTGGCTCTCAAGCCGGCTTATGTCGTCCGCTCACGGCGATCACAGCTGCAATAAAATATCACATGCCAATAAAGCTCTGGCCGGCTCAGCCCGCCAAGCAGCAACACCTAGTAGATAGTGAGAGACTGATACACATGCAGACACACATACACACACACACCGATGGCACTTGTTTCACCCACACATAGACGTGTGTGGGAAACGTCGCGTTTTAGCGCGAGGACGAAGCTGATATCCTGCGTGTCGTCTTAACTTGTGTCATACATGTAGAACTCGTCTGAAATGTAGAAGCATCTGCGGACTTTTACGGAGCAAATTAGAATTTATTTTAATAAACCACACGCTCACAATTTTATTTTACCGCCCTCCGCGCTTCACCGCCTTTCCTTTTCTTCGCGATGGGAAATTTCGCGCACGGTCGATGAATCATTTGTGTCTGCGAATTTCACAATTTCTCGCAACAGTTGACAGTTGAAGTAAAATTTTTCTCTATAAAATTTCGATTTCGACTAATTGTCATCTGTGTACGCGAGATTAAAGGATCTCATCGCGATAGGATAGATCGGAATGAGAGGACGAGTGAAAGATCACAGTGAAATCACCGTACGATGCCTCATGAACTGCAATGCATGATTACTTATGCCGAACGAAACACGACGGCTGAGTCTCATGACCCTTGAGTTGAGCCGTCAAATGTTCGATTAAATAATTCGATTGCAATCAGTCTGGGAACGGTTCGGACGTCTGCGCGATGTGTGCCAAATGAGCCGCCGAGCAAGCCGACCGACGCGTCGACCGATCGTTGACGGTAAAATTCGGTCAGAAGCCACGACGGCTAATTTAACGCATTAACACCCCGAATAATTTCCGAGAAATTCCAGCTTCGAGCTTCGTGTTCCCGTAACGTGCAACGAAAACGGCCGAGGAGAGAGAGAGAGAGAGAGAGAGAGAGAGAGAGAGAGAGAGAGAGAGGAGAGAGAAAAGGTTGTGGAAATTGACAGAAATATTAAAATCGCACGTTTTGCGACATGTTTCTTAATTAGAGACCTTAAGGACAATCAAATAGTCTTGTAGAAGAGTTCTCTGCGACTTAGTTAACCTTCTTCTAGATAATTAATTTTAGATCAATTATATAAGGATGCATCTAAAATTAACTTATAGATGAATCTAAGATTAATTTATTTCAATTGATTTATAGATCTGAAAAAAGAAATATATATATATATAAATTTAGTTTTGCAGGTGAATGATATTCTAGAAAATGGATTTTCCTAAAAATTAATTTTCCCAACAGGTTTTCCTGAGATTTAATTAATCTTCCAAGTAATTAAATTTAGATCATTAATATAAAAATACATCCAAAATTAACTTGTAGATGAATCCAAGATTAATTTACTTTAATTAACTTACAGATTTGAAAATAAATTTAATTTTCCAGGTAAAAATGATATTCTAGAAAATTAATTCTCCTTACAGAACCAATACCACGATCGATCGCCAATCTCTCGCTAAGGGTCAAATTACTCGCGCGATGTTCTTTCTTCTAGCGAGCTAATTTGCTCTTGAAACTCGCGTGAACTAGAAATTTCGTCATGCTGAAAAATCTTTTACTTCGCTCAACGTTCCATAAATCGTCACGCGAGCTGCGAGAAGAAAAAGAAATACCTCGAGTCCTCTTCGTTCGGCAACTTTGTTGGCCGAACGAATTAGACGTAGATCGACGCGTGGCCGTTGATGCGCAGCCTACATTTTAAACGTTTTACGCACTCGGGACAAATCTCTTCCAATGTTCCAGATCGAGAAATGCAGCGCGAGAATATCGCGATATATACTGCGCATTCTGCGCGACAGAACTGGCGTATCTGGCGCAACAGGTCACTCATTATGTCGCCGATCTGATTATCGGTGTATTACTTTCTAAACTGTAAACGCACGGCTCATCCTCGGCGGAACGGTGTGTTTAACTTTGCAGACCGTCAATCTCGCCGGTCGGTCTTCTTCGTCGATCTTTCATCGATCCATCATCGATCTCTCCGAGAAAAATCCTCGTCTGTCCTCTCGCTTCGACGTCTGAAAGCAACAAAAACGTAGACGCGGAGTAATTCGCACCGATTCCGGAACTTGGTCATTACCGCCGTAATAATCAACTTCTCTCACGTAAGCCGATCTCGATCGATTTCCTCAGAGTGTCTCACGGAATGTCGTACTACTATATGTATTATATTATGCAATTATGTCGTATATACTACCTACGTTTTCGCAGGTGTATACAAATATTTTTGTGATACGCGCCGCGCTACTAACACGACGCGCGAGTCCGACGATTCCAGCGGACGTTGCCGGATTAGCAATTTAACGGCAAGGTCAATTACGTTAGCCCGAACATATATTAATGAACTCATAAATTAAGCGCGCGCTCAACTACAGGAAGCGTAGGTTGCATCACCGCGGAGATTAAATTTCGAAGCCGGCCGGCGTTTTCGCGCTTCACATCTCTCTCGATTGATTTATTCGTCTACTGAGTGCTTTTCATCCAGACTCCAATTTGTGATTAGCGGGACGTCGCGTTCGCGTCTGAACAGGAGAAAGAAACGACTCAAATTTGTACGCTCCGTGCGATGGCGTTTTCGAATTGTACGCTCCACATATATATTATTTTCCCCTTTCGAATTGGCTCTCGCGAGTTTTGCTAATTAACCGACTCCGACTAAATTGATTTCATACTTCGCTCTCCTCCTCCACATCGCGTGGACCGGTTGGCAACACGCAACACGTGAAAGTTTTCTCACGTCGATTTCATTATCGTGCCCTGAAAAAAAAAATGAAGAAACAGAAAAGTAGTTACTCACGCTCAGTCTAGCGCGCTTTGCTGAATAATGTGGGAATTTCCGCGTATTTTGGCAGGGAGGGAGAGATCAACGAAGGTGCGCTTTCGTTAACGCGAATATATTATTGTGTCTTCGTGGGCGGTGTGATACACCAGCATGTGTGTCACACGTACATGCACGTAGATATTATGTACACAGTGTTTCGATGCAGTGACATGAAGTGACGCCGAAGAGTCACCTCGGTCCATGTCTCGTTCGTACAATTGATTTCCCCTAAATCACACGGCGAGTGTAGTGGAAAAACAGTTTCAGCGATGTCTTTTCTTTCGCCCGCCAATAACGACCGACACCGGTTGTGACAGACAGTGGAGAGACGCCGGCCTTGCGTAACTAATAACACACCGCGGGAATACGCGCGCGTCATCATTCGAGCCCGCTCTGGAAATGATCGCTGGAGCTCGAGCGTGTACGAATACAGCAAACGTCATCGAGCCGTGAATGTGTGAAAAGCGGTCGTTCCGTCCGCACAAAAACGCGAATCCTCTTCACTGAAAATCGTACCGGGAAAAGCGCTAATTTCTCCGATCCACCACTCCAATTGTTCTGCTCTTCTTGCATGTTGTGACTCGTGCGCGATGACTCCCACTGCGACGAGCCAAGTTATCTTTCGCAAAGCTACACGCAAAATACGCAAATTCGTCGCGTCGAATTGACAAATCGGGCTTGTGCGAATTTCGAGTCGATAAATCGGTTCGTATGAATTTTCGAGGATCCGTCACGTCGCAAATTCAACCACTAAGCTTCCGACATTCGATCTTTGAAATGAGAAGGCCGACCACGACGGCTGTCGCGCTTGTTAATTAGACTTATCAAGAGAATTTTACCTGTACGTGATTTTTAACGACCACGTCTCCGTCGCTTCGGATCTTTTCTATCTCGACGATAACTCGAACTTGCTAGGAACATGGCGAAGTTCGCACTCTCGTCGAGTATTTCCCCGCGATCGCGGTCGTCTTTGATCCTTGCACTTCGTATTAATAGACGCGATCTTTATATACTAAAGTAGAGTAAGTAAATCCCTCCTCTCCTCTCTCTCTCTTTCTCCCTCTGTTTCTCCTCTCTGCGAACTCCTCGGTAGGTAGATTACTCGTCCGGGTCGGTCTGTAACGTCCTCCTCGCAGGCTTCAGCAGTTGTCTTTCGTCGAGGCGTCCCTGTTACTCCCATAACACATCATGGCCCGCTGCATCCTCTCCAGGTACTCCTGGAGAGCGTTCTCCTGATCCAGGTCGCGTGCATCTGCCCTCGCGATCGACCGCTTCTGCACGAGGGCGGACAGCATGAGCGTCACCACCGGCAGGGTCATGCCCAAGAGGAAAGTCGGCGTCATGATGTTCTTCAGGCCGTGCTTGGTGAAGCCGCGGTAGAGCTCCGCCCATATGCCTTCGTCCTGCTCCTCCTTGTGCTTGCCGAGCTTGCCATACAGATACGGCCGGACTTTGCCGGTCGCGGCGATGTAGTTGTAGTAGTGCGGGTCGTAGGACTGCGCGTACAGCTGGGAATAATAGACGTCCTTCGAGGGTGGCGGATAGTCGGAGTCGGGGAACCAAGCGCCGGCATTCTCGTAGGGTACCGGCGAGTTGGCGACCATGTTCGTTGGTCCTCGGAAACCCGGTGGTTTCGTGTAGATCACCTCCACCGGCCCGTGACCTTTGAAGGGCACTGGGGAGAAACCAAGAAAGGATCAAGCACGTCGTTAGAATTTTGGGTAAATATTTACCTATGGGGACCACCTCCCGATCTAAAAAATTTTAGTACTGCTGACGAGGAGCTAGCAAAATGAAGCAAACCAAAAAATCAGTATGAGGCATAGAAATATTTCAATAATAAATTATATAGGTCCTATAATATTTATTAATTTACATTTTAAGTTATAGGATATATAGATATTATTTGAAATGATAGATACAGATATTATTTGAAAAAAAGCATCTAATCTTTCATCAAAATCATCAAAACAATTTAGATGTTACTTGCACGAAAACTCGTCAAATACTGTCTCATTCAGTCTTGAGTAGTTTTGTGTGTACAAAGGACAACAACACCAGACACGAAAGTAAAATAAAGATAACATATGTTCAGCGGAAGACGCAATATGAAAAGACAAACTCTACATATAGCATCAGAGAATCATATTTTATTTTCAAAATTTCTTTCATTAATAATTTTTTAATAAACAGTGACCGCCAGCTAAAACTTTCACAGCATTACTCAGAGTGATGATTTAGATACAATTAAAATTTTTGAGATCGGGAGGTGGTCCCCATAGATAAATATTTATCGAATTTCGAGACATTCGTAGAATAAACGTGACAGATCAATCAACTGATCGGTCAAAGCTCGAAGGACACCTCATGTCGCAAATATAGGACTTTCGCAATCGAGGGTCACGATTTACGTCTTGCCTCGGCTCTTTCTCATTGGCTTTTTTCGTCTTCAATTGATTGTATATCTGAGAGTCTTGATAAATGACAATGTCCATTCGGTCGGGTTTATACAAGGCAAATGAGCATCTCGATGTCTGCTCGGCTAATCGGAGGCAGGAGAGGAGAGAAAAATGAAAAGATCGCGACTGAGGTGTCATATGAGTCGCCGTTTGTTTCGAAAAAAAAAATATTCGCCGAGAGTAGAATTTGCAGCACAACAGGCAGTCTCCGTGGCATGACTAAGTGATGTGTCGACGTGTCGCGAGGATATTTACAACGGTAATCCCCGTAGAGGTAAGCGCGCATTTAGGCGTGATTATGCAGATTCGCCATGCCAGACATGACTTATAGAGTCGGGAATTAATAAATCGGCGAGAACATGAAAAAACCATCGACGGAGAGCAGAATTTAGCCGTGACGGTCCTCCGCGTATAAAAGAGTATTCGACATGTCCTTTGTACTGTCGAGTTTATTAAATATCACGCACCTCTCCGCTGGATAAACGCCCACGAAGTTTAGACGACGCGGCTCTTCTTCGAGGCATCATTGACGGTTGTGCAATCGCGAAAATAAGAAAGTTTCTCACAAATAGCTTCGACAACGTCCTCGTGAATGTATTATTCAGTTGAAATAATCGCGCTCCACGGTGGTTGCGTTACATAATGTAGCAATGGTCGAAAATAATCGATAGTTACTTAAATAAATTTCAGGATAATTAAGCGTCGCGTTCCAGCTATTTCGCCATTCCAGATATATAAAATAGTTTGCATAATTCATGAGTCACATCCGAGAATCCGCGATCAAGTGGTCGTTTTCTTTCTCCCGTTAGCAAAACATCGATTGGTCAGAAAACGGTTTTCTAGACAAGAAAGGCAGTCTCGAGCGACATCCTTCTCGCCACGAAGAACCGCTGCTGCTCAAACACGAAGACTCGATAACACAGGCTTATATCCATAGACTGAGCATTCCACAAAAGACTGCAACGACCACATCTGGGAAAGATGGCCTACGCCACAGGCATTCGATCTTTGCCTAGCTTGACTCCTGTTGGAAAGAGCTAGACGAAGGCAACATATTTGCGAACAGTGGAAGGAGGATGTAGTTGTCTCTCATCTCGTCTTCAAATCTCTCATAAGAAGACGCAGTCTACGTGTGAAAGGCTGTGCTATAAACAATCGTCAAAACTCGCGACTCACAGACAGACGGACGTCCCACTTTAAAAACAAAATCGTCACTCCAGTCTGCCTCGTGTTCAAGGTTGCTTCTTCTGCTCCCTCACCTGCGACAGGTCCTTTGTAAAACATCGGCGCGACCCTGGCCTGCGCGAGAACGCCCGGCTTCGCGCGTATCCTCTTCATCCTCTGCCGCCACATCATCGGGTCGTTCCTCACCGGAATGTCAGGCGCGACAGGCACCGGATGCAGCATCGTCGCCGGGCTTAGGATACCTGCGGAGGCCCTAATCACCGGTTGCACCACTGCCTGGGTAACCGGTTGCGCCGCGTAGCCGAAATTCTGATTGACTGACTGCGGCGTCAGCTGAACCTGAATCGTTTGGCCTGCCTGGGGCAACAACGACTGCTGTGGTTGCTCCGCTTGCAAGGACGGTCGCTCATGATGTTCCACTCGATGGATGACCGGTTGAGTGTCGATCCGCTCCAGTCTCTTGTCCTGATCGGTCAAGATAATGCCGGAGGAGCGAGGTTGGGCCTCTGGCGATTGTTGACTGCGCAGGAAGTGGTCGAGCGACACGCGGGACTCCTCGGGTGTCTTGGAATTCAAGAAGGTGTTGAGCGCGACCTCCGCCGGGTCGATTAGTGCATTCTGATCGCCGGAGACTTGCAACTGCCGCGCGGACACGTCCTGCGAGCGATGATTTTGAACGGAGAACAGATCGTCGATGATCTCAGATGGTTGCCGAGTATTTTCAGACTCGAAGATGGGGTAGAGTTTCTGCGGGCGCAACGATATCGCGGAGTTCGAAACTCTTTCCTTGCTGCTCCTCTCGGATAGGCTGCTCTCCTCGGCGGTGTAATCGGTGTACTCGGTGAGCGGGTTTCCCTCGAAGTTCAGTTGGCCGTGCGCCAAGCCGACCACGAAGACAAGAAGACTCACGAGTCTGATCATGATTCTGCGGGAAGGAGAGAAGACTTTTTATGTGGTATTTCTTAAGAGGACTTTATATTATCTCTCATCTGATTTTATATTTCCTAATTTATATTTCCTAATTTCGTGGTCGGTGGTTGACTGTGTTGAAATAAGAAGAAAAAGAAGAAAAGAGAAAAAACTGAAGAAACTGAACTGAACTGAAGAAAGAAACATTGCGATCGTTGCCAACAGAGAGACATCGCGCGATCAATTCGTAAGATGACATTTCATGTGCAAAGACGTCGCGTCACCTCGATGAAATTTACTTTCTCTCACTCTTTGATGATGAACCTTCTAATTGCTGATCTATTACCTGACCTTCGCTTTTACAGGATAACCGAAGAGCAATGTGAGTCAAGTTAATTGCGCGAAATTGATCCCGGTCGATCGAATTATAATCGCATGTTATATAAGCTAATGCATATGACTATACACATGGATAATTTCACGCGGCGAGTCGACAGTCTCCGCGTCTTCCGCGATGCAAATCGCAGCCAGGATCTCCCGCTATTTCAGCGGAACCGACGCGTGTGATCCTGCACGTGTCGCAACGGAGAGACGGAGGAGGCAGGCGTTCTCGCGTTAGCGCGCAATCACGATTGTCTGGATACTCGCGTTTCTACACGAGCAACAAAGTTGCTCTCGATGTAATTGGAACGGCACGGCAGAGCGTCTCGGGGTTACCTCGCTGAGAGGTTTTCCGCCTCTTCCCGCCGCGAGTCGCGATTCCCGACGTTCGTTGTCGGACAACGATCGGACAGATTTATCGAGGCCTATAAACGGGTATATTATAAATACGACGCACGTCTTCGTCGCGCGATCACGCCTCGACGCGTCGTAACACACTTTCTTCGGTCAAGGTGAAGTCCGACTGCAAACTCGCGCCAACGGTATCGGTGACTCGCCGATGTTAATTAATGGCATTCATTATTAGTGCGGCTTAATTAATCCGACCCGTGCCGCAACTTCCGACAAAAGTTCCTCCGGCAGCCACGCTACTTTTATCAGATCGCCTCGACTTCAATCGCCAAATATACGGTAAAAAAATGTACACGAATTGTGTAGGTGTACGTTTCCGTTAGCTAGCATCATCGGCCAGATATTTCATTCATTATACATGATTGTTCTGTGCGTGGATCAGCGAGACGCTGCAGTATATGAATTACAATAACTTTGCTCCGTTAACGTTCCCTCGCACATCCTGTCTGCATCTCCCGTAATTTCCTAACATAAAAATAAAGAGCGTCCGCGCAGGAAACGATCGCTGAGGTCGAAGGAAGCTCCATCGAATTGACACTTCCTGCCTTTCGTGTGGGCGAGCGATTTCTAAAATCGCGAAGCTTAGGTCAAGAGAGGTCAACGCGACGCCAGCCCGCCGCCGCGCATCGAAAGTATTCGTGTACTGAAACGCGACCCCGAAATGCCGAGGAAAAGCGATCCCGATAGCAAGAGAGAGAGAGAGAGAGAGAGAAAGAGAGTGACGAGCGGCGCACCGTGGTTCGAGTATGCCGGCCACGTGTTTGTATTTGGTCCACCTGGAGAAAAGTGCGCGAGGAAGCGCCGAGCAGGAGCGTCGCACGGAGCACGGTGTGTTGCTGAAGAAGGACCGGCGATGCGCACGAAAGCGCCTACGGTCGAGCTGCTGCATCATTTTGGAAAGCGCGTTTGTTCGGTGCTTTTACGCTCGACGAACGAGTGCTTCGTATTTAACGAGGAAGCAGCCGGAGATCTCTTTTCTGCGGCTCGACAGTTTTCTCCTCGTTCGATTTCTCTAATTCTCACGAGCAGCGCGCGGCTGCATCGCAGCTTATTTATCCGGCGCATCTGTTCGATGATGTATCTATATAAGCAGGATATTCTCGGGAAGAAGGAGGATCTGACCCGATAACGGACGAGTCAGACGACTCCTTGGTCGAAGGCAGTAGTATGATCTAAGAGCGCTCGCGCGCATTCGCGCGCGGCTGAAGTGATAAGAACGTAATACGGAGAGAATTGAAACGTTGGATATATATAATATGCGCGTACGCGAAAAGGACGGCTCGAATAGAACGCAGGTCGATGATGACGAAGGCAGTCGTGCCTAGTAACGGTAAAATAATGGAGTCCCAGCGGATCGAAAATCCCAACTATCCAGTTTGTCGAGTCTGTTACCGTCTGTCCCGCTGTGTTACGCATGCAGGCAAAATGCGCCAATTAAAAACCGTCGCTCGTATGCTGGAATTATTCGCTAAATGGGTCAATTTATCGTGCGAGCATGCTCGAGCAAGTCTCCGGCAGCTTTACGACTGCTCTCGTTCACAGTTCCACTAACTGTCCACCTCGCGATGCGTCTACACGAGAAAATCGACAGGAATTACAGGAGGACTCGGTCCTGTCAGAGTCCTCGCTCCTAGTATCGATAGTCGTTGCTTGGAACTTGTGTCAGGTAAAATACTCAGATTTGAATTCAGGCTCAGATTAATAGTATTAATTTTTCAGCTTGCAAATGTAACGTCGCATGCGTCTGTTCTCCTCGTCGATTTCTTCTCCTCCTTCGTTAATAAGTTAAAGATAGACTTCCACAGGCGGGCATGGTCATATCAAATTCAAATAAAATGATTGAATCTAATTATAAATGTTGGGGTCTGAGCACCTCGTGCGGGGCAACTTTCAAGTGACAACCGTTAGTAAGAATTTTAAACGTCCGTGTTGAGAAATTTATATCTCAGCCTGACTTCAAGTCTGAATATTTTACCTGACAAGTTCCAAGCAACGACTATTAATACTAAGAGCGAGGACTTTGACAGGATCGAGTTAATTCTTCTCGATTTTCAGACGATCGACGGCCGACGGTCAACTTGACTACATTTTCGCTCGAGGTAGGTTTTTTTTCGCGTCAACTCCGACACCGTCTATTTCAGGAATACTCATCATCCGGTACTTCAAGCGGCGTTTACACGGATAATAGAGAGGAAGTATAATCTTTCTCGGCAGTGCTCATTTGCAAATATATTTCCTACACTGGTCCTTCCCTTCCTGACCTTATGGTCATTCATGCATTTCAATTTGCATTCTATTGGCTGTTTTCGCAACTTTCTAAAACCGTTAATTCGTTAAGAATTCAGCATTCGGAACTTTGTGGTCGATTCACTGCCCGAATCTCGCTGCAGATGTACGGCCCCGCATTTGCGAAACATCTCGCGTTTGTGTCGCTTTGATCCAGCCTACTTTGGGAATCCAATTCACATCAATAAGTCGTTTTCGTACACTGAGAAAAAACTGTATTAAAATTAAACAAATATTTGTTCGAATACGACTGTGAATACATTTATTCAAATTAAGCGACTAATTTCTAAAATGAAATACAGAGGTTCTCTGAATGTAAACTTTTCTTTTGATTTTTATAAAATAATTGCTTAATTTAAGTAAATGTATTCACAGTCGTATTCGAACAAATATTTGTTTAATTTTAATACAATTTTTTCTCAATGCAGATATATCGGCTTATCGTGCAGATTCGATATTGTTATACTTCCGCCGGAGCTACATGAGAAAGTCATTACATATAAAAGTCTAAAATTATCCCAAGTATTCTTTTTCCTCGAATAATACATCTCCCTTGTAGAACTTTCGATGCTGAACACTGACACCTATTCACTTTCGTCCATTATCCGTTCCATTACCTTGACTTATTCAACGAAACTACTTTCAATCTGAAACCGAGAACACACGTTCGAAAATCCCATTTTGCTCGCGCACTGTCCGATATTCCGATTGATCGCCGTCATTTGGAGTCATTTGGACTAATTAATCGAAGATTAGATCGCAAGAACTTGAACTCCGACGCACCGTCGAAAATCAACTCGAGGATCTCCAGGGTTACAATCGCGAAGGGAATCGATCATCGTCGTTTTCAATGAAACGAGAAAGTTACTATGCATCTCCTGAACGGGAAGAAAGACACTTCTTCATGAAGAGGAAGAAAGATTTGGCGAGTTTTTCGGAAGGAAACTTGCCAAACACATAGCAATGTGCATAGCAAATCCTTCTTGCACATTTCCCACAAGGTCTCTTTTCGAGGAAGTGTCTTTCTTCCGCTTCTACGCGCAAAAGCGTGCGCGAACTGCAAAGAGAAAACATTTTAACAGAAGGAGAGTCTTCTCATACAGTCAAATTTAACTTGAGATATAATTTCGAAACTGGTCATCGACTTGTCAATCGGATATGAAGGACCACGCCTATGGAAGTCTATCTTTACTTATTAACTTATTAACGGAGGAGAAGAAGAAATCGGCGAGGATCAGAAAAGAAGATCAGAAAAGCCGCAGCCATCAGCACTTCGGCACCGATGATGAGAATCAAGAATTCTACGTCATCCACTTCATCATCGGCATTCAAAGTATCTCTTAACTCCAGCTGTCACCTGAGGATCAATTCGCCTGGCTGGCTGGCGCGCAACTTACACCGGTGATCTCTCCGAGTCGACGACAACGCGAGCCACGTCGATCGATCAGCTCGCTGAGCGAGATCGATGAATCTTAATCCGAAGCACTCGGCACTAGCTGGCACTTGGACGAAAGAACGAACGAAGGAAGAACCTTCGCGTTTCTACACCGCGACGACGACACGCGAGAAGACGACGAGTTCCATCGGCCGGTGCGGCACCAGGAACACTGAGATCGGCACCGACCACGAGAAAGGCATTCACTCCGCCGTGAACTCCCTACCTTGACACCTTCACGGCATCGGCCATCGCCAGCTTATCTTGTAAATTACCCAGCTACCTGGCCATTCGTCCGAACTCGCCGCTTGTTCGTCTGTTCCACGAAAAACCGGATCGACGAGAACAAGAACGAGAGGAGGAAAAAAGATATCGCCGGGCAACATTCGGCAACAATCTCACCTGACCGAGCGACCGAACGATCCGCCGAAGGCCAACCGGTCGATCCGGTGGTTTCCGGAAAAGGAGAAGCGAGGAAAAGCACGTGAGAATCCGTGAAGGTGAGATGCCCTGCGGGTTCTGAATATGCTGATGATGTACGGACTCGAAGGTTACACGTTATGATGTTCCTCGTCCGTTATCCCGGATTTCGCACGAGAACGGACTAGAAGAGAATGCGGTGAGCACTGTTTCAAGGTTCTCGAGGTCCGTATTGAGATGTCTCGCTATGATAAAGTAATGTTGACTTACGATCATGTTGTCATTGGTCTAAGAAATTTTATGGAAGATTCTCCCATCTCGGAGATTAATCGCCATCATTACACCCAATCACACTCTATAACCACCCACCAGGATGTGTAATAAATCTTCTCAGGGAACTCGGGAAATAGCCTGGAAGACTTCGCTTTCGAAGTCCATTACATTATTATTGAAGTATGTCATTACTTCGCCATCGGAATTAATTATCTCGTCACCACGTCGGGCCCTTTACATCATCGCCGCATCAAGTATCCAGTACGGGGTTGGCATCGACACGACTTACAAATAAGACTCAGTTATTTTCGCGCAATGTTCCCTGGCAGTGTTTCTCGAGCAGATTGCTGCCCACGGCTACAATTGTCCGAGTCGATCAAGCATGACCGGTATATCGTCAGGTTTCGGGCCGATCTCTGCTCCTTCGCCTGCCGCAGGAAACGAAGGTGCCTCCAGCTCCAGCAGGAGCCAGACCAGCGAGATAGTATGTCGTAAGATCCGGCCAAGTCGGAGGTACACGAAGCAGGCTGTTGTCTCGCGCGGACGATTCTCACCGGCGCAGACGGATTGTTTGCCGAAGGTCGCCAGCCGGATAACGGTCTTCGGCGGCTAAAGACCTACTTAGGGGCGCGGAGGAGCGCGAGGTCGATTCGTGTCTTTTCGATCCCCCAAGTCGGAAGCGGCGATTTGTTTAGCCTCCATCGAGCGAACGGGGACAGACGCGAATCATGATTGTTTGACGTCTCCCGCCGGTCTCTCTCGGCGACGCGCATCTCTTCGTCGCATCGGGATGACTACGTTTAAACGGTGACTTAAACTAGTTTATAGCAACATGAGCGACCTGCATGAACAGTATAAAACCGACAATGTGACAATTTCTGATGTTGCAAGTGTTGCTGGTGTTGCTGGTTATGTGTGTCTCGTATAAACAATTTTATTGCGAATATACCGCACACACACACACTCGGATCGAAAGATAAAGTTTCTTGCCACCTAAACTCAGCTCTAAGAATATTTCTCCCAATCGAAACGCTCATTGCCGCGTTAATTTAAGCGATCCTTTTCCCCGGGCACTGTACGACATTATTAATTACTACGTATATCGAAAATTGTCAAAGAAATTTTATACTGGTCGTGTAAACGCAGACTAAAATTTAACGCAAAATTTTAAATTTTATTTTAATTTTATTTTTCTAAATTCTAAAATTTAACGCAAAATTTTGAATTTTATTTTAATTCTTTTTTTTTTATTTTAAAATTTGACGCAAAATTTAAAATTTTATTTTTTTTGTTTTAAAATTCAACGCAAAATGTTATGTTTTAACATTAACGCAGTATAAAATTGCTGGTGTCCATAACGGACGTTACTAAAGCAGTTTTAGACCACCGTGTTAACTCGATCCCAATTTCTCGACGTCGACGAAGCAGACCTTGCCGGGTCTGGATTCAGAGAGGACGTATCTCGAAGAGACCTCTGCGCGCTTGAACACAGAGGAGATTCAGAGCTCACGTGATTAGCCATGGCCGCGACGACATTGTATACCATCTTTTGGCGAGGTGAGTGCAGTTTAGAATCAGCGACGGTTATGGCTGAGCATTGAATTAATGTACGGTTACGTATACCGAGATTCATTGTCTCGCTGTGAAAAACGCGAATCTGGGAACGGTCGCAAGGCGCACGTTGCACGCGGATGCGAGCACGGAGTTGCCAATTACACGAAAATAGTGGGTCCAATTTTCATCGGGGCAGGAGCGCCGCTGAATCGCACGCAGAAGGAGGGGGCCACTCGTTAAAAATAATACAGTGGAGCAACCACTATGTCGCTACGCCGCTAAATCTTCGAATCGAACTCCCGTAGTCGCGACTTTTGCACCTGCCGCGTCAGCGTCGCTCGTTCATCTTCGTACGTCACACGCATACACGTTTTTATCGAAGATAAAGAGCTTTGTTTCGTGGCGGGAGTATCTGTACGACGAAGGGGGAGACCTTTGCTCTCTTTGTCCCGAGATAATTTCATTCTTGCGCTCCCTCACGCGCACAAGCGTGTGCCACATACTGGATAAGCGATTCACCGAGTTATCTATAGGGTTATTTTCAGCCAGCACTCTTCGCTCGCTACGTTAAACGACAACGATAATGCGCTTCTCGTGCATACATTTTCTTTTTTCGCCGACGGGCTCGCGTCGCGCTACGTTTCGTTGGGATCGCTCGCCGATAAGGTGCAATTCAGGATGATGATCCATCGCGGGGATTCAGGGCGTGCAGCCAGCCATCTTGTGAGCCAGTTCGATAATGTCGAAAGGCAGCACAAACAAAACGCCCGGAATTACCGTTCGCTAATCGCGCATCGATGCTCACGCGACCGTTTGATTGTCGAATCGCCGAACGAACGAACGAACGAACGAACGAACGAACGAACGAACGAACGAACGAACAAACGAACGAACGAACGAACGAACGAGCGAACGCATGAGCGTCGTGTCATGAACACCCAAAAGAAAAGTAATTTCAGAACAAGCGGAGTCATCTAAATTTTAGAGGATTTTATTCTTATATATGGCCTCAAGAGGATTTCTCTAAGATTAAGAGGAAAATATTATAAACACATTATTCTTAAAGTTAGAGGGATTATATGTTATATGTATAATGCAAATCTTATTGATTTTAATATAAATTTCCTCTTATACACAAATTATTTAATCTTTTTTCTGAGAGGATTATTATTTATTCTTACTGGTTATATTAATTAATTAGAAAAAATTATTACAATGTATAGTGAAAAGGAATATAATATATATATAGATGTACTTCTAGCTCCAGTTCTACAATTAGTAGGCACGAATGAAATAAGATCATTGTAACGAATAAATTTCCAATTTCAGTTTTGTTATCGACTTCATAGCTGTAAAGATGTTCATCATAACCGATTATATATGGTTATTTTTTCGTTCATGTCTGGAGGTAGAGAATGACTGAACAAAAGAAGCCGACATTCAAATCAACATATTCCTCTTCATATAAGAGGAAAATTAATTGATGTAAGAGGGAATCTTTGATCTTGAAATAAAAGGAAAACAGTTAGAATAATATCTAATGAATTTTAGATGAATGGTTCACTTTAATCGCTTTTTAGAAAGGAATTCTTTTTCTACAAAAGGCTTCGCTTAGAATATAAGACTATGGGAAAAATTACTTTACAAATAGAATACCTTTTTTTGGGTGAAGATCGGGTAGACTTTGACTGTCATTAGCATCGCATTTAGTTGTATAACGCGCTCGTTCGATTTCGAAACCAACATTGATATTACGAGCGATATTACGTAGCGTGGGAAAAAGATAGCATTGGCGGATAAGCGACTGAAATGAGATAAAACTTCGCGCGTAAGAAGTGCCGTCTTTTCGTTAACGCTTCGAGTTGAAAAGTCACGTTTGATAACAGACGAGGGGGGACGTGCGTATATCATCATGTTATGCAGCGTTGAAAGTTTAATTGTTGTAAGTATATAATCGTATAAGTTATCACGTCGATGGACAAAGTCTTTGAGATCATGACCCTGCACGTGATCATCGGCAAGTCATGAACGTCGTCATCATTCTTCTATAAATATTTATACTTTGTCCTCGACAAAGTAGAAGAAATTTTGACATATACGACAATAATTTGATCGCGATCCTGCGTAATTGCACATAGTAAATGTTATCTTATCTTCCTCTCTCTCAAAGTGAAGTATGCCACTGAAAAATTCAGTGATATATCTAGCACTGACAATCAGTGCATAATCGCTGATTGACAGTGAGTTTCACTGATTCACTTTGAGAGAGCTGTTTCATACATCTTTCATTGTCACTTCTTGTGGTATCACCGATTACGTGTATTTAGAGTTAATTATGGAAGGGCTGATAGAAGTGAGATAGTAGTAACGGTAGAAATGACGACACAATCAATCCTAAGTACACACAATCGGAGCTGAATTTCAACAAACTTCATCCTGACGGGCAAATATCTTTCTAACGAACTAAACTCTCGTTTCATTGAAATTCAATAGACACAATTAGAGACAACTAAACGCCCGTACGAGTCCGATGAGCCTGCAACAAGTCGAAACTGAACTCTAAAACGAATACACTAGTAATTCTAACTGACATAGAACTGAACTCCTATCTTATCAGAATTCGAACTTTGATGTGGAGATCAAATGAGATCATGAATTTACACACAATTAAGGAAGAGAGAATTGTCCATGATAAATATTTACTCATACTCCGCTTGTGTTAATCAGCCTTGCACGGCGTGTCCGTCGTGATAACACAATTTCGAGCGTATGATTTTCGTCTGACTCGTTTGCATGAAAGCGTGAGACGCGTTTCCATTGTTTGGGAGAAACAGATCTCCCGGCGTGCGTGGGAGTATCGTCAATGATTAATAGCCGCTGCATCACTACGTAATTGCGAGCACGTCGGTGCATTCGCACGCGAGCGGCTTGTCTCGCGAGTGCAACCGGGCTATTACGCAACCGTCGGTACGAATGCGGCTTCCGACTTAGTCCGAGTGCGCGAGGACATCAGCGAACATCTGAACGGAGTCACCGATAATCATTTCGAATGACGAAGACGTTGAGTCAAACGACGGGAAAATAGGGCATTAATGTGAAGATTGATTAATGAGACCTATTGCTTCTTGTGCGAAAGTAATGTTTAATGATAAAAAACAAAAAGTCCGACAGTCATGCCTTGACAATTTTATCATTTTTGTACTCACATTTACTAAAATAATAGTGCTTACTATTAAACGTTACTTCCGTACGAGAAGCAGCATTTAGTTCTTATTAACCTATTTTTATATCAATGTATATTTTGATCTCAGAGTCTTTTTGTTCTACTTGACAAAGAAAAGAAACATCGGAGATAGGGCGAGATTCCTTCCCATTGGCTCAACTTCTTCACGCTTCTCGCTTTGCGTATTGGAATGCAATTTTAATAACGATGCAACAATACTCCGTGCTTCAGTTTGTCATGTTTACAAACGCGTCTCGGGTTATCGCATATATATATACATATATATATATATATATATGACACAATTTTCTATTATGGAAATCACACCACACCACAAAATCGAGATGTAACATCGCTTGCAAACAACAATGTATACGTGGCTCGATTTTGCATCATCGTTGTCGTCGTCTTTATCCTTGCGTGCACTCGCAAACGTGCACTTCTTCAGACAAATTGCAAATCACAGTTTAAGGAGCCAGATGGAAGAGCGTAACAAACAATTACGACTGTCAATCTGCATATCATAAACAATCGCGTAGCATGTCACGTGCCGTCGCGCCAGGTGCGCGTGCACCCAAATACAACAACAGAAACAATATTTTACATGCGTATGCTTCGTCGCGTTTTTCATCATCTACTTGTCACCGCACAGAAGAAATAAACGATGCAATGTACGAGATAAGAAAGGTATCTCGCATAAGTCGAATATCTTTCAAGATTCAGCCACGATCGCAATTTTTTCCCGAGACATCACTTGCAACAACGCAATGTTCTTTTCCGAAACGTCTCTAACAAGGAACATTCGCGAAGTCTGTGTCTCCGATTTCGACGAAACTTGACGTATTTGTAGAGTAACCAAAAATAAAAGACCAATATGTTTTTTTTATCGGCAATGGCTCAGGTTTAAGGGATGAAACTGTCTCTCAAAGTCTCATCCCCTTTATGCTTTATGCTAGCTGCAATAATTATCGAGATAGCACAGAGGATGAAACTTTGAGGGGTAGTTTCACCCCTTAAACCTAAGTCCATTGTCGATAAAAAAAATATGGCTCTCTTATTTTTGGCTAGAAATATGCCAAGTCTCGTCGAAATCGGAGACACACGCACTTCGCGGATGTTCCTTGCAAGTGTCGAAATAACGCGTGCAAATCCAGCTAGAGTCCAGAATTTCGACAACAGAATGTCAAGCGAGAAATTTCTCAAGTCTGCGTTTCGCTGTGCGCCTGTTTCGACTTCGCTCGACACAAGTTCGTGTCAAGCGAGTCGATTAGCCATGGCTGTCCATGCGAACTGAAATGACTCGACTCCATTTCATTCTCTCTTTCTCTCTCTCTCTCTCTCTCTCTCTCTCTCTCTCTCTCTCGTTACACATGCACGCGTGCTTACAGTGCTTGCGTGTTCTCGATTACGTCGGTGTGTCGTGTTTATTGCAACATTGACAAATTGAAATGCGCTTTCGCACTTAAGGGAGCTCCCTGGCGACGCACAGTGGGGCCAGATAACATTCTTTGGTTCAAAATTCTCTAGAGATCTGAATTTCCAACCGATCATCGACACCAATGGATGAGGTTGATCCTGAATAAATTCCGAAGAGATCTGTCTTGCCAAAATTAAAAAAAATTTTTTTTCTCGAATTACTAGCCCCAAAGGAGGAAAAATTATCGTTAAACGCGAGAAACTTATGAAATACTCATTATTCGACACTTATTTCTATCTAATAGCATATTCAGCGGATTGAAATTATGAAATCGATCAACAAACACCTCGAGATTTATCGATCTTGAACCAGAAACCCATTAACCCAAAACTCATATGCCCAAAATACAAAAACATCAAATATAGACCCGTTAAGCACAAAACCGAGGGATTTTTATCCTTAATTCTTTCTTAATGTGGGCTGAAATGATGAGCTTTGAAATTCTGAGTTTTCTAAAAGGTGATTGTAAGTTCTGAGGTCTCGCATTTAGAATCCATAGACTCGAACCCAAGACACTGTACTTTAAACGATAAACTTTTCAGACGAACCCTAAACCCATGAACCCTGAATCGATAATCTTTTCAAAATTTCGGCTAGACAGATCTGTTTGGTATTTATTCAGGATCAATCCATTGGTGCCGATGATCGGTTGGAAATTCAGGTCTCTAGAGAATTTTGAAACAAAAAATGTCATCTGGCCCCACTGTGCGACGGTGCGGTAACAATCGGCTCGCACGCTTCGCTTCGCACGCGTATATATTTCGTCGACTTAGACGATGCACCTGCGTGCCAAGAATCGCCGCCAGCTGCCTCGCACATTCGGAAGCTCGGTGCATCTGCACCGAGCGTGCGGTTGCGTCTCTCTGTGTGCTTGCGTGACGCACGTTCGTCCGGTGTGCCCTCACCGTCCGGCGTACTGCGCGTTTTCGTCGGTTCCGACCTCTCGTCGCGAATTCCCCACGTATACTTCGCGAACTTGTCGCTCACTCGAGTCGGCGTCTGAATTTGCTCGCGGATTCAGAGCGGAATAACTAATGATGACGCACAAGTTCGCGATGGATTATCGCGAGCAAGTAGACCTCGCAATAATTTAAAGCGCTCACGGACTGATAACGAAGCATTAGACGTTCTTGCGAAGTTCACACCTTATCGTTGCTGACACTCGAAACAAATTCAGTGGCAAATAACAGCGACAACGAGAGGCTAGACGTCGCTTGCTTTTCGGCGTCTTCCGCAATGTTCCTGTACGCAAATAGATGTGTGTGATAATGCTCGGCTGTACATAGTGTGATGCGTGTGTGTGTGTGATTTCGGAGATCACATGCTTGTCGGGTGTATAGGAAACGGTGAGCTGAGTCTCTCAGAGATTTATCGTGAAACTGTTTGCGACTTCCAGCGGGAAAACCAGAGCGATTTACGGCCGGTTGTTCCAACTTCTTGGTAAGTTAACTGATAGTTAATCTTTAGAGGACCGGAGTGGTTCCTATAGGAGCCACATATAAATCGACATTCAGTGTTTTCTTAAAGGTTATATTATAGTTATTTATGCATTTATGTCGATGTTTATATGCTCTCAAAATATATTTGCATGTGTTCGTGTGATTTTTACCTTACTTGTAAATAAACATTTATTAACAAGTACATATTTTATCTGCATAGTAATTCGCATCTCAGTACGTTTTTATTTATAATAGACTCACTTTCTCTCAGAATTATATAAAATCAGCACACAACACTATTAGAGTTTCGATTGCGCACAGTGCGTGATAACAATCACTCTAAAAGTAACAAATAAGTATAAAAAATATAGAAAAATAGTTTTTGAAATAAAATAATTTTCATTATTTTTTAAAACTAAAATTTAAAAAATTATATTTAAAAAAATAAAAAATTGAAGAAATTTAAAAATAACAAGAAATATAAAAAAACAAAGGAGCTGCGTAACTTTCTACATCCACGTCGTTAGCTCTGGGTTATGCTAAAGAAAAGTTTTATTTTACCGTATGAGATTACTTATAGTAATCTTATAGACTTATTTTAGGTAAATAATTGCCTTTCTATGTAAAATTTCGATAATCTGATATCAAAATGATGATCAGCGATATAAAAAAATGCCCCTAAAAATGCCAAATCCAAATTTTGAAAATTTTTTATTTTGGCCGTTTCGTTCCGGACCGGGGTGGCATATATAAATTTTCCGTGAAAAAAATTGCAAATTTTAAAGGAAAAATACCAGTCCTCTAAAGGTTAAATCACATGTTTATCTTGGTTTCTCCTTCAATTTCAACGAAGACAGATTTAACAACTATCAGTTAACTAAGGAACAACCTGCCCGTAGTGGATCGAGTTAACAATCGACCGTCCAGTTGGTCAGTTTACGACGGTCGCCTGAATTTCTCCGCGATCGCGGAGACTTCTTCTCTTGTATCGTCATGGTGAATCGAGCTGTATCGATCTTACGTGGCTCGATAATACACGGCTCGAGGCTAGGGCCTTGGCCGTAGCCTTGATTGAAACCGGCTCGGCGATTATGCCGCCGGCCGTTGCCCGAATCCGCTCGTCTGATCGCGATAACATAACGAAAACGTCCAACGAAAACCGCCGTCTAGCCGACGCTCGATCGAACTCGTCCTTGCGAGTCGATCAAACGATAGACAAAGGAGAAGGAAGTTCACGAGTTTTCACGGATGAGCTGCTCATTGCGCTCGGCTGCTCCGAAGAGCTGCTTCAACGTGATCACACTTGTGCATAGGTGACTCGGCATTCTAATGATGCTCACCTCAGCCACGTGAGCGATGGTCTTACTCATTCGCTCGCAAACAATGGAAGATGTTTCCAAGGCCGCTCTTCGAGCGGCAAAACCGAAAGAGCATTGTGGAAAATTTTACTATCAATGGCAACTAAGAAGTTTCAAAGACTAGTCGTAATGACTGATCGCGACCCGAAAACACGAGTCGATGGAGTCGATGATGGACCTCGGAAGACGGATGTCATTGTTAGACCTAAAGTAAGTCATAGATAATGTTTACCGAGTGCTCGGATGATCGTTGTTTCTCCACTGGCCGCCACTCTGAGTGAAAAACGACGAGAGACGGCAAGTAAAATCGACTGGAAGCTGCGATTCGAAATGAAGCAATGAAGACGAGAACGAGCAGCCATAACGGCGCGCCGTAACAACAGCAGACGGCGCCGACGTGTAATTCTTTTCGCAGGTCTCACACGCCGATCTCACACGACATCGACATCGGCATCCCTTCACTGCGGTGCATGCGCTATGAAATTCTATGTGGTCTACGTTGGAAGCGATTGGACGCGACGGAGTGCGTCGACGGAAAGTGGCTGACAAGCGCGAGCCGAGCAGTTCGTTGCTCCACAGGTGTGGAGTGCGGAGAGTCTCATGGTCCGCCGATCGCGGTGTCCAGCCATCCGCTGCAGCATGCTCGCTGACGATTACCACGACCACGACGACGTGCATCGCTCGGCTGGCAGTGTACTGCAATATCCCCTCGCGACGCAGCGGACTCGAGGCTACTGCCTGAGACTGAGAGCGCCGCGTTCATTCGCCGCAACGCTACGCAGCCCAGTCAGTCAGTCAGTCAGTCAGTCAGTCAGTTAAGCAGTTAGTCGGTCGGTTGGTCGGTAGGTCGGTGGGCGAAGCAGCGTCGAACAAAAAGCGGCTCTCGCCGCAGAGCCAGCCGGACTCGGATTCGAACTCGGAGCCAGACTGCGAGCCAAGGCGAGGCGAGGCGCGTCAGCCGAGGAGCATCGCCGGGATGGAAGCGCGCGACGACGGCGACCGACAGCCGCCGAGCACGAGATCGGCGACTGCAGTGGCAGCCGTCAACATGCCGAGCACCACGTGCGAGGACGAATGCCGCGATACCGCGATCACGTGGAACCGCTGCAAGGAGCTGCTGCTCGACTTTCACCTCAACTCCGACCGGATATTCTACCGGTGAGTGTGACTCGACTCGACCGCGCGTCGACCCTCCCCGGAAGAGCTTCGCAATAACGCCGCCGACGACAGGGGCGGAGGAGAGAAGGGCTCGCCGCTTCCGCGGCTGATCCCCTCGAGTTTTCTGACACACGTGAGGGATCAGAGGCGCGGGAGGGCTGGGTAGGGTGGTACATGATGGGACAGGACCGAAAGTCCTCGGGAAGAGAATCGAAAAGTGCGTGTTCTTCAATGATGTTTCCCGACCTCTCCTTTCCTCTCGCTTCAACACGTGCTCATCCTGTGTTGGACTTTCTTCTTCAGCGCGTGTGACGTACGCTGGGCGCAGGGTGAGTAATGCAATCGCAGGAAGTTCTTCCTTCTTCTTCTTCTTCTTCTTCTTCTTCGCTTCTCCTGATGAGTATCATAAAGAAACGAGCGGACAGGTTGGACGGAACGTATCGAGTAATAGTGCTGCACGTTTAAACTCGGCTGCACTTTCCTTCGAGTAAAAAGCCACCTTCAAGGGCCCACGATGAAGATTCCCCTCTCGGGAGACACAAAGGAGAGGAAAAGAAAGAGTTTAAACTGCCGCGAAAGCGAGACGCGTGCTGTCGTTGGCCTTGCCGTCGTGATCGCGTGTCGCGATTTCATTGTTCACGGCGATCTGGCAAGCGACGAAGATGGAAGATGAGATTCCGGAGTCTCGAAGGGAGCGAAAATTGAAGGTTGTACTTTCGCTCGCTTCGCCGAGCGAAGACTCTTCTCGAGTCTCTCAGCGGCAGCATTCAATCTTCTTCCCTCATTCTTTTTCGGCAATCTTCTTCTTCTTCTTTGCGTTGTCTTCGTGCGTTTTATTGACTTTTCATGAATTGCACTTCACGGAAGTAACGTCACGGTTGCCCCACTTGGCATTGCATTTTATCCAGCGACATGGGACTTGAAATACAATAAGTACGACGCTGATAGACGCGAAATGCAGACGCGTCTCGGGTTTCTTCAGTCGCGCTTGCTACACTCATTTCGTTTTACGGCTGATTTTGCAATTGCAGACGATTCTGCAGGTATGCAAACGACGCTGCAGCTGCGGCACTATTGATCTCTAAGGTGACTGAATAAATTCTTATCATTAGCACTATGTCGTGTGTAAGAATACAGCAGGAGAAAAGCAAGGAAAAATCGACTCGCCGAGCTCACTAGCGAGAACTGCGAAATATTTTTCATCGAATTCGCGATGTCCCTTCTCTGTGCGATTAAATCGTACATAAATAATTAAAAATTATACGTTATGCGCTCTTAAGCGCGTTATGATTATAACGACAAGATACGCTTCGCGACAAAATCGGAGTTCTCGGCATGTTTATCTTAAAATATCCGAGGCTATTTATAAAAAGTAATAAAGGAGAGAGCGAAAATGTCTCACTGTCAAGAAAATTGCGAGAATATTTATTATATAACTGTTTTAATTCGCCGTTTTAATGCCGAGCACATTATGATTGCACGACATCATATCAGGCGTTCCTCGCTTTGTCTTTTCGTGGTATGACGTAATGCTGTAAATCCACCTCTCTCTCTCTCTCTCTCTCTCTCTCTCTCTCTCTCTCTCTCTCTCTCTCTCTCTGCATGCACACATATACGGCCGCACGTCAGATAATCAGTTCCGAACGAGAGAAATATAGACGACATGGTCACGTGTGTTAACTGCTACTGGGTTGGCGTAAATTTCAACCAATTTTCACGATCGTAACGTCACAACGGGATCGCCGGCTCGATCCATACTTTTTATTGTTAATCAAACGAATCGGTGCATAGCCACGGTGATGCTACAATCAACCGGATACGATTCGACTTTTATCGAGACATCCTCGTCGTGCGAACTCGATTATCTATTCCCAATCATCTATTGATCGTTCGTGCGGAAACAGACGATAACCTCTGCAGATTAAAAGCTGCGGAAGAAATCGATCTCCAGATTCTTTTCTCCGACGATAATATCGCCAAACAACGTTGAAGCGATATTTAATTTACGAAAAAATAAAAATCACGATCAATCGGAAGCGATTGGACGTCAAACAGCTACATTTCTCAGCACGATTATTCTGCAAAGCTCTTTGAAAAGATGTTTTCAAGGCGCTGTTGCTGAAACGACTTGTATTTAGAATATTATCGTTCCGTAAAAATAGAATTCATTATCAATATTTTATGCGGCTCTTATCAGCCTAAATTAATTTTTAACGATTGAATATCTCTGTGAATATCTCTGCGAATCTCAATACAAAAATATTAGTATTCTTTATGTTTGCGATACGAACGTAAAATCCGTCCACTAATAATCCGTCATTAAGACTAATAGGTTCCCATTTCGTTCTCTACTTGACTGTCAGTGTCTTGACCATCAATGTTATCGTCTTCGTTTTCACACACACAAACAGCGTGTCTCAGAACAAGGAGAACCTCCAATTCCTAATGCACACCAGATTGCGTAACCCGGCGAGATCTTCCCGAGAAGTGGTTTCATGTCAAAGGGGTTTGTTGTTGCAACCGTCACGCGCGGAAAATCTGACGATTATAATTGACGCGCGTGCTGCGAAGGTACACATTTGCTACATCCCTAATTGGCGATTAATTGATAGGCTCAAGTGGCCTCAGGCTTGATAGCGAGCGCGTATCGTGAGAAGGAAGCTTTCGTCTCAACCGAGAAATCTGAGCGACCTCGAGATTGTTATTTTACACGCATCTAATTAGTTCCTCGTGATTTCTTACACGCGCGTGCACGCATATACACGTGTACATTATGTTTATTTTTGCATGTCGGAGTAGTGCAGTTTCTACGTTATTTCATCGCGGTGACATACATGTACATACATACATACATACACACACACACACACACACACACACACACACACACATATATATTTTTAAACACACACACACACACACATATATATGTGTGTGTGTGTGTGTACGCGCGTATGTACAGCATTTTTCTTTTTGTAAAAAAATGAAAAATATTTTTCATTCACCAGGTAAATCGCGCGTGTCACAATGTAAATTATGCAAGAGCGACTGTTCTGTGACGTCTACGCGTCTTTCGTTTCCGTCTCTCATTTGAATGAGAGGTCATTGCTCCTGCCGTTAGCCGGTGGTGTATCGATCTCCATTGTCTCGTGATCACGAACCGTGGATCGAATTCGCAGACATCTGGCGCGGCCGACGCTTTTTCGACAATCGATGTTTCAAGTTTTCACCTTCTTCGTTACTATATACATAACATATGTTTCCCTTTACGTTATATATCCATATCTTTATTTTTCCATCTGGATCTATGTGTATGTCTCTCCTCCTCATCCTTATGTATTCTCGCATACTCTTCAGGATCGGACTCAGCATAGCCACGAAGCCATGGCTCTGGCTGATAATATCGCTTTGCCTGAACATCATCTGCGGCTTCGGAGTGATACTCTGGCGGGAGGAGGTCGACGAGGTCGAGCTGTACGTACCGATCGGCTCTGTATTCCGCAAGGACGCCGCCTGGGTGAAGGAACACTTCCGGGACGATCTCAGGCACGAGAGTATCATCGTCATCGCTCCGAACGTGCTGGACCCCGAAGTGCTGCGATCGGTACATAGGCGATCATGAATTATACGAGTATCAACGAAGGTTCTTTTCCACATTAATGCACACAATTCTCCCCTGCGATAATTAAGACGAGCTCGTCGCGTCCGCTTAAGATAGCGAGCGTCCACTCGTTGTCCTCCTTCCGCTTCGCTTTCTGAGATACTCGACGATATACTCGATCCGACAATCGAAGTGGGCAGCAGAAATATCCCAAAGATTCCCAGGAGCGTCTTAGAGACGTCTGGAAGGCTGAATTTTAGACGTCTCTACTGTCTCTGAGTCGTCGTTCGTCGTTTTAAGTGATATTAATTGCGCGACGTTCCGAGTTCAATGACGTGATGCCAGCGATTAGTATCGGACGTGTGGTCGATTTCTCATGGTAGTTTTTCAACTAAACATCTTGTCCGTTTTCATTGTACATGTGTATGACTATTGTGTGTGTGTGACATGCACGTTATCCTTCTGGCTCCATCGCAGTTGCGTAATGACACGATTAATCGTCCGATTGCAGATCAAAGATATCGAGAGAGACGTGAAGAGCATAGTGGTACAGAACGACACTTGGGAAGACGTGTGCGCCGGGTGAGTGTTCCTCTCGCCGAGAAAACGCGGCGATGATTCTTGGGCACAAAAGCGATAAAATGTCGTATTTACAGGCACTTCACGTGGTTCCAACAGGATGCCACGTGGGACACCATGGACAAAAGCGAGTTCCCCGAGGAATACCTGTCGATTATCAACGACACGATGTCGAAGGACGCGTGTATTTACAAGTCGCTTTTGAAGCTGTGGCAAAAGGAAGGGATGAAGGATGTCGACAAACTGACGAAGGGAGAGATTCTCCACGACGTGACCGTGGCTATGCGGAATAAGTGAGTGAAGATCAATCTCGCGTGGCAAGATCCGCTCGATCAAACCGTCAAGCGTCGGGAGTCTTCCGCGTGAAGAATCTTCGAATACAATTTAACCAAGTCTATAGTATACGATAAACTGATTTAAATTAGCTAAAAATTTAAATTATACAACGCGATAAATCAGTATGATAAATTAGTGTCTTCTTGCAGACGGAAATTTGATTTTCCAAAAATCTTCTACACAGGGTGCTAAATTTCAAACGTAACAGGTAAAAAATCTCGAAAACTATGAAAGATATTAAAAAAAGCTAAAACACGTGTTCCATGATTTCGAAGGGGAAAGAGAATGGCATTATCAGTTTTTTTATTTGGAGGGCATTTTCAGGGTCAGTTGAAGGTCAACTTAATTTTTTAAAATAGAAAGTCTAATTTTTTATTATATCTTCTTTTTCTACCAATTAATTTGAACAACTTTTGTCTGAAACATTTTTTTATTTGCCTAATATTTTTTGGCAATAGATATTTAGCAAAGATATTCAAGGAGAACTTGGTGACATTTTCAACATTTAACTTACAATATCTCGCTAAATATTCGTCGAAAGAAAAAATAGTATTATACTTTTTTACTTTATTTACTATCAAGAATATATTACTATAATAGTGCTCCAAATAAAAAACTGATAATGCCATTCTCTTTCCCCTTCGAAATCACGAAACACGTGTTTTAGCTTTCTTTAGTATCTTTCATAGTTTTCGAGATTTTTTACCTGTTACGTTTGAAATTTAGCACCCTGTACAATCACACGTATCTGTGACGTAAACTTCATCTTAACGTGATCCCAAGTCTTGTATTCTTTCTTGCCTTACACATTTTGCCAATTATATTAATTCTTAACGAGGCGCCACGGCGGACTCGATGAGACACTAAGACGCACACCTTGTCATCTTCGCGTTTCACGGCAGTGAACTGAATTTCTCAATCGGCAGACACACGAAAGACATCCTATCGAACATCGCGCCGCTGCTGTCGGGCATCGAGTACGACGAGAACGGCTGGGTGAAGGGCGCACGAGCGACCATCATGTATTGGATGCTGAAGAAGTCGAATTCGCATTCGCCCGACTGGGAGGTGGAGTTCATCGAGCGGGTGTTGCACTCGAATCGGACCCTGCCGCCCGGGATGGAAATCTACGCGGTGACGTTGCGCAGCTATCAAGACATGCTGCACCAGGTAGTCAACAACAACATGACCGTGTTATTCTGCGGCATGTCGCTGATCACGATCTACGTGATCGTGATGATCGGTCGGTGCAACGCGTTCCAGCAGCGCATCTATCTGTCTCTCATGGGCATTAGCGTGGTCGGCCAAGCCCTGCTGTCGTCCTACGGCATATGCTACTACATGGGATTCTCTTACGGCCCAGTACATCCGATCTTGCCGTTCCTACTTCTCGGCATCGGCGTCGACGACATGTTCGTCATCATGCAGAGCCTCGAGACCATGTCGGAGAAGGACAAGACCTCGTCCATATCCGAGCGCATCGCGAAAGCCATTCAAGTATCAGGTGCGTCCCTTGGCAGAGCTCGCTGTCGAATAGGATAAAAATAACATCGCGCTGCCGCCTGACCTATGCGTTGCCGACGTGAATCTTTTGACGAAAATCTCGCGGGACCACACGTGGACGAACTAAAAATATGAGAAAGCTCATACGTTGACACGTGATGCGCTCGCAATAATAGCAGTGCTAATAGGGACTGTTATTAAAATTAAGACCAGAATTGGCGTGCGCGCGCGCGCGTACACATACACACACGTACATGCGCTTGAATTTGACTGATATTTGTAGGTATGTCCATCACCGTGACATCGTTCACCAACATGGTGGCCTTTGGTATCGGTATGACAACAGTGATGCCGTTCCTCAAGTCCTTCTGCATGTTCGCGGCCATGGGCATATTGTTCCTCTACATCTACGAAATCACGTTCTTCGTTAGCTGTTTGGTGTACGACGAGAGGAGGTTGGCCGCAAAGAAAGACGGCTGCTGTTGCCGGCCGCAACAAGCCGGTTGGCGTGCGAACGAGTGCAGCCGACGGGACTTTCAGCGTATCATGTTTGAGAAGTACATCGGACCGTGCGTGACGAAGACGTGGGTGAAGACGATCGTTCTGCTGCTGACCGTCGGTCTGCTGTGCATCAACGTGTGGGCGATCTTCCAGGTGGAACAGAACTTCGATCCGCTCATGTACTTAAACCAGGAGTCCTACCCGATACGATTCAACAACAAGCTGAAGGAGCACTTCCCACGCTACGGCAAGTACGTCAACATCTACCTGACTGGCGTCAACTACTACGAGGACCGTCAGACGCTTTCCCAGCTGGTGGACGCCCTCAGGCGAAACCCGTACATCAATAATCGCACCCTTGATCCGTGGTTCGTTGCGTATGAAAAGTGGCTCAACACCACTGGCAAAGGTAATCAGAGAGTTGTGCGGCGCGTGAAGACTAGAACTGGAAACTGGAATTCGACGAGCCGATCAACTTTGATAATGGCTCGCGCGCTTTGTCGCCGGATCGGTCAAATCACAATCTTCAGTCCGCAATACTCGATCTCCAAAATCCAATCCGATGTGACTTTCACATGATATACAACGTGACTAGACTTCGATGAAACACCTTGTTTCACGGATTTGGTAGCAAATTTCTTTTTTAATTTCAGCTCTTACCGGTCTGAATTAATTCTTAGCGGTTGAATATTTAAGAGCCTTAAAGAGAGAATATCGATCTTAAATAACGAATCTTGCCTCAGTGAAATTTACAAGATCTACTGAGACAACATATTGTTTTTCATCACAGCAAGTTATATCGAAGACAAGGACGAGTATTACAACATCCTCACGGAATACTTGCTATTAACGGTGGAGGGTCAAGCGTACATCCAGGACATCAAGTTCGACAAACTACCGTTCAACGACTACAATATCACGGTATGTATCGCAGGATGTACACACGTTTGACGCTCCCCGAATAAAAAGCAATTTCGTTTACTCACTTGTCGCGCGCCGACGATTTCAGACATCACAGATTCCGGTACAACACATTCCCATCAGCACGACGTCCGATCAGATACGCGCCATGCAGACTGTTCGCGACTCCATGATGTCGCTGAACTTCAGCCAAGGTCACGAGCACATCGCAATTCACTCGTTAGACTACGTGACATGGGCGTCGAACAAGGTAAGCGAGCTAGTGAGCTCGGAAGAGTCTATCCAGGAGGTCGCTAACAGGCTCGATGATCTTTGCAGATCATCGGAGAGGAACTAATCAGGAATCTAAGCCTGGAGATTGTGGCGGTCGGGATAGTGACATTGGTGTTGCTGAGGAATCTACGCGCATCCTTCTGGGTGATGTGTTGCGTGTTGTTCACACTCGTCGACCTTTTAGGTTCGATGTACTTCATGGACCTGACCATCGAAATTTCGTCGACCATCATGGTCTTGCTATGTGCTGGCCTGGCAGTCGACTATGCCGCGCACATCGGCTTAGAGTTCATACGTTCGAGCGGCACTAAGCAAGGTACGCTGGCGCGAATGATAAGAATTCAATTACAACAAGGATCACAAGTGTATATTGCAGTAACAAAACTTCGGGGTTTATCATAAAGTAAACAGTTACCACTTAGAGTTCCTAACGTCGTGATACTTCTCATGCGGAAGGCCGGCAACGTCTGACGAGCGTATATCGGTATAGTGGAATTCCGGTATTTTTGGTATTTTTGTGGTATTTTTTATCTCATTTTGTGTTTGCAGAACGAGCAGTAACGACGCTCAACGTTATCGGGCCGGCTGTCCTCAACGGTGGCTTGAGTACGTTTCTCGCCTTCATCCTGTTAGGCTTCAGTCAGGCTTACGTTTTTAAGGCCTTTTTCAGGGTACGGATCCAAAAGTACTAACTTTATAAAATATCATTGTCTTAAATGAGACAGACATGTCAATCCTCTTCATATTCGTTTCAGCTCTTTTCGTCCGTGGTACTATTTGGTTTGTTTCACGGGTTGCTGTTCTTGCCAGTGATATTGAGTTTGGCAGGCCCTGGCGAGAGGAGACAAAACAGGCCGGAGAAGGATCAGAGCATGCAATATCACAATGGCTATTATACCGTCCGTTTATCCCAGAATGGGAAAGGTAATGCTCTCAAGATTGCAATATCCACTCGGAAGAATTTTAAAAGAGTGCGAACAGAATTTTACTGTAATAATTCCAAACGTGCGCTCTGCTCACGACTTATTCTTTGTGTTTACAGATACAGAAGACACGCTTGCTAAATGACATTTAGCAATTATTTCAAGAGGCTGCTTAGGTTAAAAATATTCCTGTAGGTAATTTTAGCATTGGAATTTGTATGACTGTGAAACATACGCGCACGTATTATGTTATAGTAACATATGCGCACCTGTCTGTATTTCTCGCTCCGTGTCTTTTCACTCTTTTATAACAAGAAATTGCTAAGTAAAGATATCATTTGTATAAAACATTGTGAATTATCTCCTACGTCTCCCGCTTTTGACTGTCATCCATCCTTCCTCATTTGTATTCTCATTATTCGAGTCCATATCTTCATCAGAACTACTCTTGTTGTCATAGTTTGTTGTTACATGACTATGCTGAACAGGTTGTGGCAACAAGAGCCAAGATTGCAATGGTGGCAGCTTCTCAAACTCTGTTCTTGCTGTAGACTCATTGCCCTCTATGCAATATCGATAAAATTGAAGTAATATATCTGCTACTTCCCTAGCACTATCATCCTCTATTTCTGTGCTAAAGCAGTCATCCATATAATCTTCAAGTATTGCAGCAACTTTGCTAACGTCTAATCCATCTGGGAAAATAGCATAAATATATGATAATTATCATACTGAAAAATACACATAGTACTCTATTTTTTGTATTAAATCGATAGAGATGGAAAGAGCATACCATTCAAATATAGCACGTCCGTGACGTATGTGCAAAATTCTACCGCGTTATCTTTTGAACACATGCCATGCTCCACTGCTAACTGAAAACGAACAAAGATCGATTATAATGTTGAAAATCGATCGATTATAATGTGAAAAGTTCGCACATTTTAGCTATACCATGTTTTACGAAATGAAATTTGAATTTAAGGTTAACATGAGATCGAAGAATATGCGAGGACTTACCTTCAATGCCGTCCAATTGCTGAATATACGTTGTGTGATCGTTAGAAAGAATTTCTGGGTATCTGCCATTTTAACAGAATTTTGAAGAAAAAACAAGAATATATTAAATACTAAACCAAGCTTGGAAAGCTAGAACACGCGACTGAGATATTTCGCACGTTAAGGTAACGCTAGGTATTTAGAAGATTCACAATTTCGAAACTGTTCCGTACCAAAATCTCCGCTACGAGCCGCTACTATCCCTCTTAAAAAATGAGGTAGTGTAACTCAACGACAGACCAGACGAACTGTCGTTTCTCCAGTAGTATGACTTGATGACAAGTGATCAATCTTTATTTTCGAAAGATATGTCAGATTAATATACATGTTCTCAGTATAGAATATACAAGCTGATAAAACAGAAAATAATATTTAGTATGTTACATATATATGTTAGTAATATACATGTAATATATACGTCATAAAACAGGTTGAAATACAGTAGGTTAGGAAGAAGTTTTGGTTAGGCCAAGCTAAATCTGTCAACGACAGCTCTCAGTGAATCTCTTGATTTATTTAATATGTTTGATTTTATACAGAATCCGAATTATATATAATTGGTCGTTACCATTAATTTTTCCTTTAAACAGGCAATGAAATTTCATTTGATTTGAACACAAACTTGTAATTTAAACATTGACGAAAGAGTTACTTAATATTAAAAATTAAAAGTTTCAAGTTGATTAAGAAATTCATAAATAATAGGTGATCTGCTATACTTAAAACAATTTTGATCTGGAAACCAATAGTTGAATCATGTCGGACGCCTTTGAGGAGATACAAGCAATCAAGATAAAAAGGAATAGCCTACGTGAGAAACTGCAGAAAAGAAAACGAGAAAGACATGAATTATTCACTCTCACCTCCACTCCAGTACCTTCTGCTCTCAAGACAGAATCAACAGATCCTGGTATCAAATATTATTATGGTCATAATGCAAAACCTTGAAACTTTTCCACTTGATATTTAACACAAAGCAATGCATTCTTATTCTAATGTATGTTGCAGATTCTAATACATTGTCACTACGTTCGGATCATAATGAATATGAAAGAGATATACTCTGTATCTTACATGAGTCCCTACCTAATTTGCCGATAACATCTGCAGATCTAATAGATCAACTGCGCAAAAATTTAAACGCAGATGTGTCCACTTCTGATATCCATAAGATTCTGGAAAAACTGGCTGCCCAAGATATAGTTAAGTTAGTGAGTTTCCATGATATATTATGCAACATACTATAAAATCTTATTTTACTTTGTCGCAATGTATCAAGTATAAGTATATAAGTAGCGTTTGTCCTCAGGATCAAAGAAGTTACGGAGAATGGAGTATTTGGATACACAGTATTGTCCTTCACAGAGTCCCAGTCCTCATATCAATCCCAATCTGATGATACGGAAAATGCAGAGAGCACAGAGACCTCCGCATCTGAATTGAACGACTATTTGCTGCCAGAGAAGCAAGCGAAAATAGAGAGAAAGAATACTGAGGACATCATGTCCTTGATCTCAATGCCGACGATTCGAGAGAAGGAGAGTAAGAAAGTCGGCGAACAGATTCTAGACCTGTTGTCCAAACAAACGTCCAAGGAGAAATCGCTGGCAGAACGGTTTCGCTCTCAAGGCGGTGCCCAAGTCATGGAGTTTTGCCCGCATGGCACGCGGGTGGACTGCGTGAAACTGAACGGCGGCCTGGGATTTGCGGAGAAATGCAAGAAATTGCACTTCAAGAAAATCATACAGAGCCATACGGATGAATCATTAGGGGACTGCAGCTTCCTCAACACCTGCTTTCACATGGACACATGCAAGTAAGAATTCTTCCGAACCTGCACAAGTTCGCTTGGAATGTTTTCCGATATTTCTGAAGTTACCCGTGAAATGAGGGTTTTTCTATTATTTTCCTCAAACAAGCTTTTCCTACTACCTAGATATGTCCATTACGAGGTTGACGGTCCTACAGCACAACCAAAGGAGACCAACGATTCCGATAGCCCTAGCAGCACCACAACTAACAAGACACTTAATCTGGATAGTAAGAACGGCAGTGGTACCAGCAGCAATGCAGGCAGTGAGCTGACATTGTATCCACCGCAATGGATTCAATGTGACTTACGTTATCTAGATATGACGGTATTAGGTAAGTTCGCGGTGATCATGGCTGATCCACCGTGGGATATTCATATGGAACTGCCTTACGGTACCATGTCAGACGACGAGATGAGACAATTAGGGATCCCAGCCCTTCAAGACGAAGGACTTTTGTTCTTATGGGTAACCGGTAGAGCCATGGAATTGGGCAGAGAGTGTCTGCAGCTGTGGGGCTACGAAAGGGTGGACGAGATCATTTGGGTGAAGACCAATCAACTGCAGAGAATAATACGTACAGGCAGAACCGGGCACTGGCTGAACCATGGCAAAGAGCACTGTTTAGTAGGCATGAAGGGCAATCCTCGCATCAATCGAGGTCTGGATAGCGACGTGATCGTTGCCGAAGTACGTGCTACTAGCCATAAACCTGACGAGATTTATGGTATCATCGAACGTATGAGTCCTGGTACCAGAAAGATCGAACTATTCGGTCGGCCGCACAATGTGCAACCCAACTGGATCACCTTGGGTAATCAAGTGGACGGTGTCCATCTAATCGATCCGCAGCTCATCAAAGCCTTCAAGAAACGTTATCCTGACGGCAACGCGATGAAACCTACTAAACCGTAAAAATATCCTTTTATTTATAACGTCGACTAAAAGCTCAAGTGACATCATTGGCTAAAGTGAGTCAATTTATTGAAAATATAAAGAAACGAATCTTGTGAGAGTTATTCGTGGAACGAATAAATATACAAGTTTTTCACACAGCTAAGTATCCCGATTTCTTAAGAAGACGAAGAAGACCATTATTACGTTAGAGTTTCAACTTACAACGAGCTGTATATATTAATAGAACAATCCTCAACCAAGTTTGTGAGATTTGTCCCAACATCATTATATTATCACAATTTCTTAGAGATTTTTTAAAATACATATTAGTGAAAATTTAATTTCTCTCAGTCAAAACTTGACGAAAGTCACATTTTAACGTAGAAAAAAAAACTTGAGCATGTTCCACGAATCTGTTCTATTAGATGCAAGTGGCTCTTGTGTGTGTGTATATATATATATATATATATACATACACATATATACATACATACATATATGTATATATATATATATATGAAAAGCAGGTTGACAGTTCTTTTCCATATACTGTCTTACTTAATCCATATCTATGCATTTATATAAATCATTTCTTCCCTTATTTATTTGGAAATGTATATAAATCCCGTTTGTCGTTTAGATATATGCAAGTATAAAGTGAACGCATATAATTATAAATATAAAGGACCAATTTCTCGTGGAAAAACATCTCGCGGTTGCTAATTATAGCAATATTTGTACACATATGTTACATACATTTAAGAGACATATAGCGAATAACAATCGCAAGAGAAAATTGCAACAGAAACCTCTTAATATATGTAACCGATACTGTTGCGCTTTTGCTTAAGCAGATTCTTCTTTATGAAAAACGACAAATAATTATCGTTAATACTGCTCGTGGAAGTTCTCGTGCTAGACATTGATTCCCTTGTGATGTAATTCGATTTCGACAATTCTGCGCTCGGTAGATTCTCCTTGTCGTGTGCGTTTAGAACCTTGTCCGAAATTTTCCTGAGACGCAGCTTGTCGAAGGAATCGACCCAGTGCCTCTTTTTGTGCTCATCTTCAGTTATAAAAAATTGCTCGCCAATTTTGAAACCGATTTCCGCGATATTCTTATCCTCCACTTGTACACATATCTGATCCTTGGGTACGACGGGTAAGAAGAGATTGTATTTTTTGCTGAACCTTCGTATGGGACGCGTTATTGCAAAACATGTGTCGAAAAGAAAGCAATAATATTTCTAAAAAAAAAAAAGATATTAATATATAATAAATATAATACATTCAACAAATTCTTTTGAGAAAAAGACAAATGTGAGGCTTACCAGTCCACGTGTATCCTTGAGCAATCCTTTCGTAATTAATTCCGTAGCATTAGCAATGTATTTATCAGGATCGTGTTCGACCTTTACGTTTATTTTCGACTGAGCGAGCTTGCACTCGGCATCGCCCATCGTGCGATCGATATCCTGCAGCAAATCAGATAATACGTCACCCGCTTCTTTCAAAAGCGAATGATCCGCATCGCTAACTGGAGTATGTTTCAAGATCTCCTTCACCAGTAACGGGTACTTGACGATCCTCGATCGTGGCACGTCTAGGTAAGTCCACAAGTCAACGGAACGCGGCGATTCCAGGCGTTTTTTCAAGAACGACTGAAATCGCTTATTGCCGATTCTTTTCTCGTCCAACAAATGTCTCGCCCATATCAACGTCCTACATCTTTCCAAATATGGTTTCTTTATTGTCGACAGCTGTAGAAAAGATTAAAGTATTAAACAGAACGTGTACTAAAATATGCTGTTAAAAAGAATGACTCACCCATTTTAGTATTGTTGGGCCTACAACCTTTGTAAAGCCACTTCTATCTCGTAGTTGAAGCAATTCATCTCTCAAGTTACTGTGTATTTGAATAAGATTTGTGATATCACCAAAAAGTATAGTTAGCTCTTCGGATGTACAAATGCCAGTAGGTAATATTGGTTCATAATAAAAGTCCCTCAATATAAAGAGATCATTTAACAGCACATTTTCACCACAGTACAGCTCATAAATTGCCTCCTGCCTTTTGACTTCACTCCGAGTTAGCACAGTGTTCAAACATTCTTTATCCTGTGTATGCGCGACATCTGATAGCCAGCTTCTGATTGTCAAATTGTTACAGCTTCCAGTACTTTTTTTCAACCTGAAAATAGAGAATATTTTGTGTTTATATATGTTTACAGACAGATAAAATTGCTTAAAAGAACTCCACTCAAAAGTTCAATGAAATATAGTTCATTTTATGTTGTAAATACTTTTTACGCGATACTCCAATATCAGCATCATCTTCAATGATCGACAGATCTGAATCCGGTACAATGGTGAACGATCTCTGCATAATGTTCCTCTGTTTGTTCATTGCAACCAAAGATGGAAATATACTGCTGGCAACTTCTGTAATTCTGGGTCGTTTCTTCTTGTTCCCTATGTCAGAATCTATGGAGATGTCCATTGAGCTAATACTCATTGCATCGCTCTTTGGTCGTTTTCTTGATCTCTGAGTGAACAAAGAGCGAGAATTAACATTATTTCTAACAACAATCATTATTGCTCGTTACACAGAGCAAGGAATAATCTCGAACGAGTACCGATGTTACGACGTACATAGCGGTAATCCGACACGAATTCTAACGGAAAGGAAACGTACAATCTCGCTGATGTTAATGACATTGACACCCGAATGTCGGTTACGATGATTGACTGCACAAGACGTGGATATGCGTAATCGAAAAATACGCCGAGACTCACCAACCAAAACTTCTTCCGCGGTTCCTGGAACGTTTCCTTAGTCGTCGTGCTGCAATCATCGTTCATGCTATCGCAAGTTGCTGGAAAAATTGAAATCTTTCAAGTAAACCGGCGCGTATCGCATGCGTCAAGATGCTTGAGATAACACAGGTTGTAAGAAATATACACGCTCACTGCGACATCTCTCAAGGCATCGCAAAATGTCGCATACATGCTACAATTTTTAGCGGGAAAATTTTATATCTTCTAATACTATAAGAACACAAAATTTATTGTATCTACCTGTTCGTTTTTCGTATCCTTTTTCAGATTTTCTTTTTGTATCCTTTTTTATCATAATGCAGAGAAATGCGAAATATATTTTTATTTTAATCGTAAAAAAGATGTATTATAATATAGCAAAAAGATAAAGATATAAAAAAAAAATAAAATATAAAAAAGATAAAGAAAGATAATATAAGAAAGATATAAAAAGCAAGTGCAGGAAGAAGAGAAACAGGTTTCATGAACATTTACTTGTGGAATTGAATATTTCACAAAATCAAACAAGAAGGTACTCTGTTCATCAAACAGTCAGACAATCAGTGCTTGAAGAATGAATTTACGCAGCCGACGGAATCGGTATCGCGTAAGATAATTAATTATGTTCCTTTCTTTGATCATCGCGTCGTGTTTTATTATTTGGATACTACATAGGTAAGAATCGAAATCGCGTATAAAATCTTTAAGCACTGTTTTGTATCACTAGCATAAACTAACCTCAAATTAAGTCGAGGTTTATTATAATTAGATTATTCCGTAAACACACTACTGTTTCGTGTGACACTAGATTTTTTGTTTTCAGTTGAACTAGATTGCACTTTTGATACAACAATATTATTAGCATAGAAAATATCCAATTACATAGAATAAAAATGAAATTATATATGTGCGCATATTTTATATACTAAGAGAAACATATTCCATCATTTTGTCATTTACAAATTATATGTCTACATAAAATATTACATAAAATAATGATATTTAAATCACTTAGAGAACTCTCTAAGATTGTTCAAATTCTTGTGAGATGGCAGTTTATCATTCGTAGATTGGCCGGATTTAAAATTACACGTGAACGTAACAGAAAGCACACTCGCCACCATCTTCAACGTGTAAAGTAGTATAAATAAAGGAATTTTTGAATAAATTAAATTGCTATCGTGATAAAAGTTATTATCAATGATATTATTAACATTTCAACAAATAATTTTATTTGTTTTATAATTATCTTGATCTCGAAACAATTGTTGGTTATGTTAATGTCAAATGTGTTTACTATAAAAAAAATTCTTTTTGAGATTGAAGAATTTCATTATTAATTATACATAGTTTATATGTTTAACGTAAAATATAATGTTATAACTACAAATAGGTATAAAACAGACAGATTAGAAGTTAGATAATACTACTTGGAAAATTAGGTTAAAATTATTAAGTGAGTGTATTTTATTTTCTGAGAGCAATTTTGTATCATCTTCTAATGATTAATGTTTATCAGAAAGGAATTCTCCGATAAGAGAAAGTAATATTGTTTTAGAAGATACGGTACATCACATGCTATGGAGAAAAGGAATAAAACTACACATTTGATTCCAAATATTGATCGTAAAGCATCTGGAGCCAATTGGGCTATGTATAAAAACTTGATTTCCAAGCCAAAAACAGAAAAAAGCAACGAGGGGAACATTTCACAAACTAAAAAGCATCCAAAATCTCTAAAAATGCACGCTACTTCACGTCATGCAGTAAGTACTCAAGATGCTATGATTCTGTTTGAAGTAACTTTGATACACATGTATATATATATATAATTGATTTATTTATTTATAAGCTGTATATAATGTACATATATTTCTTAACGTATCTATCAATTGCAGAATTCAGAAAATGAGAATAAGAGGCATAATGCTACCAAAAATAAACAGGAAAATACTTTGACGAAGCAGATTGCTATAGACTGCGAAATGGTTGGAATTGGCGATGGCACAGAAAGTATGGTGGCTCGAGTGTCAATTGTAAATAAATATGGTGATTGTATGTACGATAAGTATGTCAAACCAAGGGAGAAGGTTGTGGATTATAGAACACCTGTTAGTGGTATTCGACCAGAGCAGTTATTAAATGGAGAGGAATTCAGTGTTGTACAAAAGGAAGTGGCGGACATGTTCAAGGGCCGCCTTCTAATAGGCCATGCGTTGAAGCACGATCTTGATGTACTGTACCTGTCTCATCCACGTAGATACCTACGTGACACTTCGAGATATAAACCCTTTCGACAGTTATCGAAAGGTAATACCCCCAGCCTAAAGAAGCTTACGTACGAATTGTTAGGCAAGCAGATACAAGTGGGCGAACACAGTTCCGTGGAGGATGCGAGAGCAGCGATGCAGTTGTACATGATGTACAGAAATAAATGGGAATCGGAAAGAAAGACACGCTGACGCTTCCATTTGTGCCACATTACAAAACGAACATTCACTTCAAATCTTTCATCGCACGTTTATTCTGTCCAATACCCACCGACAATATGACACATTTGTGTACTATATTTCAAATTTTTTAGACATATTGTTGTGCGACCGATAAAAATAATGCTGTTTCTGACAATCGTGTCAACCAATAAAAAATTACAAAGAAACGTGCATTTCCATGTGATCAAAGTATCGAGTCATGTGATAATGACCGATAAAATTTGTATTTTAATTAATAAAAGTATAAATATTTTATCTCGTAAGAAGATGAACGCCTCTTCCATGTTCTACAACTTTGGCTATTGTTTTATCAATTTTTCTTTCTTGCGGATGCTTCCCGGTCTCTCTTTTGCAAAAGCTATTCCAAATATAACACGAACAGATGCAGTGACTAACGATCGTGCTTGAAAATAATGAAATGAACAGGCAAGAGGTCGAAGGTTACTTTCCGCGTTCGTCAATTCTGGCGTAGAGTATCTATATTTCATGTAGGTATGGTAGATGACCTCGTTATCAGTAATAACCTTGTATCTCTTGTTTCTTAAATGCTACGCTTAGTCACTTTGCTTTTAATCTCCGTGTGAGATACATGTATCGTGCGTTCCTCTGGTCTCTGCGGTGCAAGTGCTTTGTGTGCCATATCTCCGTATCTGTAAGTAAAAGAAAACTATAAAATTCGATGGGACTAGTGTAGATAAAAACTCGTATATTTCAAAGTGGAAAAGCAGTATGCAAGCGCTACGATTGACAATATGTATGAATTATATGCTGTTAAATAACGCGGTAACTTGTCAGCGAAAACGTTTCAGCAGCCGCTTGTGTACCATATAGGCATACCTTTACGTTAAATTATATTTAAGTCTTCGGCGTGATAGCAAAATATCAATCGCGTCAATCCGTCGGATGAGTTCGTCGAGTTTTTTTATCAGAACTTCGTGCTACATTTGTTTTATAAATCCGTCCGACGCGATATTATTTGCCCTACCTCATCAATCTAATCAAACCCGTACTATTTACACAGTACATGTGCTTGATATATGTATGTACGTTATCATACTTTCAATTCCATTTTTTTAAGCGGAGCTTTCGAATACACGAGACACACATCAAACGTGATAAAACCAAGTATGATAATTTGACAAAATTATTGTTGATAAAATTTGGCAATAGTTTGATAAAAGCTAAGATAAACATACGATACGACTCTTCGGACTTACGATTAGAACATCGCACGAAGGAAAGTGCGAGTATTTGGTTCTCGATCGGATCTGTTACACCTTTCACGAGCATAGGCGGCACATGCAAAGTCGTAAATTATCAGAGCAGGCTGCAACTGGTTCGTGATTTCGACAAGAAAAGTTGCATAAACGGATTCCGCAACATACCGTTCGGCATGTACGCTAACGTATACAATGATACGTAACTTTAAGAGAAAGAAAAATTAGCGACTCACATGTGATAATGACGAGTACCTATTCGGATGATTCGTCAGTTATTATTATATTTAATATATTATTATCGTTATATAAACTGACGATAAAATTACGATTAAAGTAAATGACAAACGACTTGTACAGAAGATTAAATCGCAGAGCAAATGAAAACTAAATAAGAGATAAATTTTATCGTATTCAAGCAGTATAAAAATATATACTCGATAATGCAGTTAAAACATTAAGATTTAATTAAATTTTATTTCACTCCTCGGTAAAATTATTTGCAGAACAGCAGACACATTCATTTAAAGTTTAAATCAAGGAGAGATTGAATTAAACAATCAAACAGGTAGTTAAGTAGACACAGATCGGAACTAGCCGTGTAACGCGGCGTGAAAATCGCGATCACACCTCGTAACTACTGCAAAATAGACCATCAATAACTTTCGCCGAAGGTATTAATGAGAATTCCTCGTGTTCTGCGAAGCTTAGACGATTATGAGAATCGCCGTGATCGGTGCAGGAGCCGCTGGACTAGCTGCGCTCCGGCACTGCACTTCCGGTACTTACGATGATCAAGTGGTGTGTTACGAAAAAACAGACCAAATAGGCGGCACTTGGGTCTACCGGGAGGAAACTGGTTCCGATAGATACGGCTTGCCGATTCACACTAGCATGTACAAAAGCCTCAGGTACGTAGCATTTCATTACGAAGCAACTTTCGTTTTCTTGGTGTTTGTGCATAGGAAAGGAGAGAGAGAGAGAGAGAAAAAGAGAGAGAGAGAGAGGAAAATTAATACGTCTACGAAAACTAATATTATAATTTTAAGAAATAGAGAGAATATATAAAAGTTAATAATGCATTTAATTAATATACTTGCGTGTATCACATAAATAATTCCTGTAAAAATCCTGCCGTTCACCATTCTGCTAGGACTAATTTGCCGAAGGAAGTGATGGGCTATCCAGATTATTCAATATCAGAAAGACCTCAAAGTTACTTGTCGCGCATGGAGATATTGGATTTCCTGAACGCGTACTGTGATCATTTCACACTACGTCCTTACATTCGTGTGAGTGTATAAAACTGCAATGAGTACACAAGCACATATTGCAAATGCAAAAATAAAGCGAAACACGCGATGTCTACGTTAAAAACTACGTTAAAAATATCCTTACTTGTTGAACACGAATCACTGTTAAATCCAAAATTAAATATTTAAGCTACTAAATTGAAAGTTAACTATCACTATTGAAAGTTCAACTATCACGGCTAAATTTGTCGTGGCATATCGTAAATACCTTACATTGCAGCTGCTGCATCATGTAGAGCTAATTGAGCCGGCCGTGGGGGACCGGAAGTGGTCGGTCAAGGTCAAGGATCTGCAGAGGGACGTACTCATGACCGAGTCGTTCGACGTGGTCATGGTGTGCAACGGTCATTATTTCGAGCCCAATATGCCGAAGATATCCGGCCAGAACCTCTTCGTCGGCGAGCAGATTCACAGTCACGATTACAGAGTTCCCGAGATTTTTAACGGCAAGAATGTCGTTGTCCTGGGGGCAGGACCTTCCGGTACATATGACATTATACGAGTCGCTCGCATATTCTTTGAAAATAAAAATGTTCAAACTATTACTCTCAAAAGTTCGTTTTCATTATCAACTGGAGAAAATGATCAATAAAATATTTTATTGACAATTTAAAATTTAATAAATGAGGAAGTATTTCTTTTTCGTCGGTTTACTATCTTCACATGAGAGTACGAAAAAATCCCTCGACAAAGCTAGTCGCGATGATTAAAACGCTATATTTTTTTATTTGTTTTCGCTGACAGGTATGGATTTGGCTTTGGAAATATCCAAGAACGCGAATCGTGTGATTCTGAGTCATCACATAAAAGAGACTATACTCACAGTGTTCCCTGAGAACGTTGTGCAGGTAGATAGAAGCACGAGCTCAGAAAGAAAATAGTAAAATCACGCGGAGATTACTTCTTAGACTTGCGACGGTTTCTTTTTAGAAAGCCGATGTGGTGGAATTGACGGAACGCGAAGCAGTTTTTGCAGACGGCACAAAGGAGCAGGTCGATGTCGTCTTCCATTGCACGGGTAGAGTTCTCTTTATTATTGAAATCGTTAAGAAATCACGGACGAGTTCACGCGAATACACAACTTGAATGAAAACAGAAGAAAATCTGCCTAAAGCAAAATATATTTTCGGAGATCATAAATAACTTAATAGCATAAACAATTTAATCTCAGAAAATCTCCCATGAAATAAACTATGCATATGTTTCGCTCCTGTTTTTATTTCTGCACTTGTTTTCTTTCAAGATGTAAATCTGCATGAACATCTGCAGTCTAATCATATAGAATTATTACCAGGCTTATTATCAGCATAATAAAAATTACAATAATCAGCGTTTTGAATCTTCTCTGAAAAGGATACAAATATAGCTTTCCTTTCCTCGCTAAATCCTGTGGAGTTCGAGTAGACTCCAACATGGTCACGCCACTCTGGAAACATCTGGTGTCCATAGAGAATCCTACCTTAGCATTTGTGGGACTTCCATTCTACGTCTGCGCGTTTAGCATGTTTGATTTGCAGGTAAGACAGATCTTTCCATCCTCTCATCTCACGTATTCTTCAGGTTCAAACTGTAGTAACAGATTCCCCATTATAATCAAGTACATCCTCTTCGAGACAATTCTATTCTTCAGAAGGAACGAAGGAACGCGCGGTTGGAATGCGCGACGGGAAGCAAAAGAAAAGGCAAAAACGCTAGAAAGTCACCTCGTGTCCCGGGTGCCGGCCGGCTGACTGTGACTACGTTCTTTGCCACCGGTCATGGTAACACCGTCGCATTACTTGCAAATTTCTTTCCCCAAGGTGCGATTCATCCTACGACACTGGCACGGCGAGAGGCAGTTTCCCGCGAGAGCGGATATGTTGCGCGACGAAGCCGAGGAGATGGCGAGACGTGCAGAGAGAGGCCTGAAGAAGAAGCACTTTCACATGATGGGCCCGGAGCAAGGTCACTATTACGACGACCTGGCGAACACCGCAGGAGTCACATCGCTGCCTCCCGTGCTGGCAAAACTGCACAATGCGAGCAGTCAACGCTTCGTAGACGACCTGGTGCACTACCGAGAAGACCGCTACCGCATCATCGACGACTACAACTTCATTCAGCTTTAATGTTCAATGTAAATTATGCCGATGGAGTTGTACTTTCCCGTACTTTCTTCGTGGTTATCTGGTGTCGCGAGTTGCAAAGGGGAATTCTCGCGCTCCTCTCATCGCTCGCAAATCGGGCTTTCTTTTATGCGTGAAATTAAATATTGCGTAGCCAATATTAAATACTCGACTAGTGCGTTATTCTTTTATATATAAATATACAACGCACATATATAAAATTAATACACGGATATAGTCGCGGGTACTTTTTTGAGAAATGATTCGCACTGAGCCTTACCTATATATATATAATCAATTGCACGAGCAGAAGAAACGCATCCCATTTTTCCAGCTTCCAATCCTGGCGTCCTAAATTTTCAGAAAAAGAAGGATCGATCTCCGGATAACCCTCAAGTTTTTACACCAAATGTAAATCTCACGAGATACTGAGCCGAGTTTCATCGTAACATCAACTCACGCGTCTTTTCAAATAATCCTAACCCCAATCACACGCAGAATCGCGAATTGCACATAGAACCGATATTGCCTCGATAATAGGGAGTTTCTGCAATACTGTCTCTCAGATACAGTAAACGTAAATCGTAAACGTTATTCGCGTAGAAATAAGGTCACAATGTACGCGATCAATCAGCATTCACGATTCACGTTTAACGTATATGAAAGACGGTATTGCAAAAACTTCCCAGTATTTTTATCGTTCAATCCTTAACCCTTTCGCTGCTGAATTAACTTCTCTTGAGAAAATTATTAAAATATTTGGTAGTCCTACGGTTTTTGAATCACTGATTACGAATCTAAAATCAGATTTGCACAATTCAAAATGGCGGACTCAATATGGCGACCATGATGTACAAAATTAATGAAAATTTCAATTATTATTAAATAATGACCAGGTCGTAATAAGAACATATGATTCTGGACGATGGAACTCGATCGAGCTGGAAAAAATTTATGTGCGAAAATGTTCAATACTGCATATATTTATGCTTACTAGAGATTAAACATTCATTTTTGAGTAAAATAATATTGATAATATGGCTAAGATGGAGATACAGAATGAAAAAAACTAGGAAAATAGAACTAAAAAGTGCAAGAAAACCAAATTTCGGCCGTTTTTGTAGAAACATTTGCTTATAAAAAGAAAATCTAACCTGCAAAAAAATACTGAAAAAAATATATGTTTTTGTACATCAGAAAAATATTTGGTGAAAATTTCAGACCTCTACATTCAATACTCTCTG